AGGGCAGCAAGGAGGCAAGCATCTCCCACCTGGGGCTGCCTCCGTCCCCCTGAATGTGTTCTGCTTGCCATGGACAAGTCCAGGCCAGGGAAAGGACAAACGGTGACCAAAGCAAAGCCTGATGTGTGCACCCCTTCCTCCCAGCAGTGCAATGCAGCTCTGCACAGCTCCCCGTGCTGAATCCCTGGCTCTCGGTTCTGTCCTGCAGGTTCCCTGGCCGTCCTGGGGCTGTACCTGGTGTTTGGCTACGGTGCCTCACTGGTCTGCAACCTCATTGGCTTCGCCTACCCTGCATATGTCTCGTAAGTACTGACTCTACAGCCCTGGATGGGCAACGTGAGGGCAGAGTCACTCCTGGGGCAGCAGGACCTGCTGTGGGGAAGGCCGTGCCTGCTGTAGGAACAAACCTGCAGAAGCAGTGACTTATCCCCTCCCTCCCACAGCATTAAAGCCATCGAGAGCTCCAGCAAGGAGGATGACACCACGTGGCTCACATACTGGGTGGTTTACGGCGTCTTCAGCATAGCTGAATTCTTCTCTGACATTTTCCTCTACTGGTTCCCCTTCTACTACGCTGGGAAGGTAACACCTTCATGGGGGCACGGGGGCTGCAGGTGCCGGAGCATTCCCCTTTATGGCTGAGTTCTTGGGGTTCATCTGTTGAGCTTTGGGGCCTCCAGAGAGCTCCAGCCTTTGGCAGGAGGGAGCGGAGCACCCCAGCAGCTGCACTGCTGTCCCAACCCGGCTCTGCAGCTCCTCTCCCCCCAACCAGTGCCTGTTCCTGGTGTGGTGCATGGCCCCGGTGTCCTGGAATGGCTCACAGGTGCTCTACCACAATGTCATCCGCCCCTGCTTCCTCAGGCACCACCGTGCTGTGGACACAGTGCTCGGCGACCTCAGCACCAAAGCACTGGATGCAGCCTCTGCCATCACCAGAGAAGGTAATGTGGGTCCATCCCCCCCAACCTGGGGCAGCTCTCAGTGCCCCTCCTGTCCCCCCCCCAGGCCATAGCCCCATCCCTGCCATGATGGCAGCCCAGCCTTTTTCGTTGTCTCTCTTCTTTCTGCGCCTCCCGGAGCAGTTCTGCACACTCTGCTCAGCAGCAGAGCCCGGCTGGCTGCTGAGGTCGCCCCGCAGCTCAGCGTGTCCGTACGTAACAGCCGCATTTCCATAGCCGGCACGGAGCCCGCGCCCCGCTGCCGCAAGCCCTGCTCCTACAAGCCCCGCTCCTCTCTTTAGGCCCCTTTGCTGTAGTCCACCCGGCTCCCCGCTGCAGATATAGGGCAGGCTCTCTCCCCTCTCCCGCAGCCCCGCACTCTCCCGTCCCGCCGGGTTCGTTGCGGGCTCCGGCGCTCACACGGCGCTCTCTCTTTCCCGCAGCCTCCGGGACCGCCGTGAAGCTGGCACAGGAAGCGAAGAGCAAATGAGGCACCGGGACAAGGCCGGTCTGAGCCCGGCCCTCGCTCCCGGGCCCGTCCTCGGCTCGGTTCCCCCCCCCCAAGTAAAGCTGCTCCCGATCCACTCCCATCTGCTCCGCGCGCTCCGGGCCGGCACGGCGCCTTTAAGAGGGGGCGTGGTTTCGTGCGCGGGTGGTGGCGCGGAGATGACGTCATCGGTGCGCGCCCGAGGGAGGGGCGCGCGTGGGGCGGCGGAGGTACGGCGGCCGGGAGGGGAGGCTTGTCTGTCTGTCCTGGGGCGGGGAGAGGTGTGCCCGTCTGGCGGCAGGGAAAGGGAACTATCTGTCCGTCTATCTGTCCACGGAGCGGGGAGGAAGGCTTCGTCCTGAAGGAGCGAGGGCGTCAGGGGTGTGTCTTTCCGTCCGTCCGTCTGTCTGTCCGTCCGTCCGTCTGTCCAGGGAGCGGGGTTGGTGCGGAGGTGGGAGGACGCGTGTCCTTCAACTGGCGGTGGGAGAGGCTCTGTCTGTCCGCCTGTCTGTTTGTCGGGGGGCAAAGATCCCGGGGCGGGGAAGGAGTGACCGTGCTGAGGCTGCGTATGTCGGTCTGTCTGTCTGTCCTGGAAGGGATCGGCCTGTCCGCATGAGGGAGGGTCGGTCAGCCGGTCTGTCAGTCCGGGTGCGTGGGGGGAGGAGTCTGTGTGTCTGTCTGTCTGTCTTTCTGCGGGTCCGGGAAGGGCCGGCAGCCGTCTGCCCTTGGGGTGAGCGTCCGTCTGTCCCGGCTGTGAGCCTCCCCTCCCTCTCAGAGCCCCGCCATGAGCTCCAAGGCCAAACGGGTGTTGCCCACCCGCCCCGAGCCGCCCACCGTGGAGCAGCTCCTGGCCGACGTGCGGGGCGCGCCCCCGGCCGACCCCGTCCTCCTACTCCCGGCTGAGCCTCCCCGGGGCAGCGGTGCTGACCGTGACGGCCCCGCTCCAGGTGAGCCCCGCGGAAGCAGCAGCGGGCGGGGTGCCGGGATGACCGAACCTCCATTGAGTTCCCCACGCCTCACAGGGCAGGAGGACGGCGTGGAAGAGCAGGAGCGGCTGTACCGGCAGTGCCGCGGTTACGTGGAGATGAACCGGCGGCTGCGGGAGGCGCGCGGGGAGCTGGCAGAGAAGCGTGACGAACTGCAGAGGGCGGGCGCGGCACTGGAGAGAGACATCGCCGAGATGCGGCAGAAGGCGTTCTGAGGTCGGGACACGGCACTGCCCGGGGGTCTCACCGGGAGCCCCCCTGGCTGCCTCCTTGTGCTCCCAGCGCGTTCACAGTGCTGCGTTTTCAAAGCACCCGCGGCCTTCATCCCCACCACGTGGCTGTGCGAGCAGCTCTGCCCCCTGCCAGCACCATGTCCACACGGCATCGCTTCACCTACGACTTCTCCATCTGGTACTGCCCTGAGGACCACACTGTCGCCTCCATCATCGCTGAGTTCTTGATGAAAAAGGGCTTCCGAGGCTACTTGGAGCACTGGGACCAGGTGGCCGGCACCCCGGTTGTGCTGAGTGCCACTGAGGCCATCGGTGCCAGCAGGGTTGGCATCCTCCTGCTGTCCCCCACATCCGTGGGGGATGCGTGGTGCCAACGGGTGTCCGAGTGGAACTTGCAGCACGTCGTGGAGCGCGGTGGCACCAGGGTGCTCCCCGTGTGCCTGGGGCTGAGGAAGGAGGAGGTGCCACCCTTCCTGCAGCACCTCACCCAGCTGCAGTATCAGACCCCTTTCTTCTTCGAGCGGCTGCTGCGGAGCCTGGCAGCATCGCAGGCCCTACCAGGAGAGCTGAAGAGAGCCGAGAGCTGAGGGGCAGCTGGGGGTGGTGGGTGGGGGTCTTGTGGTGCGGTGAGAGCAGGGTGGTGGGAATGGGCCACCATGATGGGTGCACGCAGTGGGACACTGCAGCGATGTGGCCAGGGCTGCGGTTATCACAAACCTTGACAAATCCTCAATAAAACCCTTCTTGGGAAGTGGGATGTGATTTCCTTGGTGAGGATGGGAAGCAGGCTGTGGGGGGGGGGCTGCCTGTCCCTGTGGGTTGGTTGGAGCTGTTTCTCTGCGGTGTTATTTCACACCTGCAGATGTTCACTCTGCTTCCCCCCTTCCTGTATTGCCGCACGTCATCACAGCCCTCTGCCCCAGCCCCACAGCCTTGCAGCTCTTTGCACACAGCATGGAGAGGAGCGCAGTTGTGGGGCTGCTGCTGCTGCTGGCGCTGCCCAACCCCGGGCTGGGTGAGCAATGCAATGGGGCTGGGATGGCCGACGGGGCTTCTGCGTCACTGCAGGGAGCAGCAGGGCATGGGGGCAGCCATCCCCACTCAGCAGTGGCTGTGGGATGGGCTCCCCCTCTCCCAGTAGCGTGGTCACATCTGCGCATCATCGGGGGACGCGAGGCCGAGCCCCACTCCCGGCCCTATATGGTGTCAGTGCAGGCCAGGGGGGTGCACGCCTGCGGGGGAGCACTGCTGAACCCACGCTGGGTGCTGACGGCTGCACACTGCATCCCACGGAGGTGAGAACTGTGTCCTGTGGAGGTGAGCGTCCCATCCCACATCCCATCCCACATCCCATCCCACATCCCATCCTGCATCCCATCCCACATCCCATCCCACATCCCATCCCACATCCCATCCCACATCCCATCCCGCCTGCTGCTGCACCGGGGTTTGGAGGGGCACCGTGTGGACGTGCGCTCTGTTCCGCAGTGCCAATGTCTCCAGGATGATGGTGGTGGTGGGGCTGCACCGGCTGTGGGAGCACAGGGACACCCAGAGCTTCTCCATCCGCGCTGCCTGTCCCCACCCCGGCTACGACAGCCAGACAATGGAGAATGACCTCCTCCTGCTGCAGGTGGGGACGGTTGGTGCCAGGAAGTGCCACCGGTGGGGAATTCACACCACACCGCAGCACGGGGCCGGGTGACATTTCCTCTCACGCCTCCGAGCGCTTTCACATCTGGGTGACATCTCATCCGGGTGACATCCTCCCACTCTCACCCCGGGCGATGCGGTGACGCCGCTGTGACGGCGGTGGGCCCTGACGCTGCCCCGCACTGCCCACAGCTGGAGGGGAAGGTGAAGCGCAGCAAAAGGCACCGACCCATCGCGCTGCTGCGGAGGGAGCCGGCGGTGGGCACCGTGTGCAGCCTGGCAGGCTGGGGTGGGCGAAAAGGGCTGGCAGCCGCGCTGCAGGAGCTGGAGGTGACCGTGCTGGACACGAGGATGTGCAACAACAGCCGCTTCTGGAACGGAGACCTCACACCCACCATGATCTGCTTCCAGGGCCGGGGCCACGGCGAAGCCCCCACCAAGGTGAGGAGCTGGGAGGGGGGGGTTGTGCGGGGCTGTGACGCTTGGTGCCAGGCTGTGCCATCACCATCACTCCCACAGGGTGATTCCGGGGGTCCCCTGGTGTGCGGGCGCCCGGCGGCGGTGGCGGGCGTTATGTCCTTCAGCAGCCCCAACCCTGCTGACCCCTTCAAGCCCCCGGTGGCCACTTCAGCAGTGAAGCACCGTGTGTGGATCCGGCGCACGCTGCGACGTGGCTGCACGGCACAGATGGAGCAGCCCCGGCTATTTACACAGGTTTGCATTTAATTTTTAATACTGTCCAGAGTCCTGGTAAAATAACATCCTTGGTACATACATACAGCAACGGGGGGACGGGACACCACAAACCCAGCGCGATTCCACACAGATGGGGACGAAGCCGACGGTCACACAGAGGGCAGATGGGTGGCAGCGGGGCTGGGATGGTGGCACTGACACCCGGGGCCACAACCACGTGTGTGGGGTGACGCTGGCATCCTGCCCGTGGGTCCTGTTCTGGGTTATGGCCATCAAGAGGAGACAAGGCGTCCACAGGGGGCTGCGGCCCTATTTCTTGATCTACATGGGTGCATCCCTGTGTCCCCTACATGTCCCCATAACACCCTGCCTGTCCCTGAAGACACCCATAGGGCACCTGGTGGTGTTGGTCCCTGGAGGCCCCGCAGATCAGCCCGACCAAAGGCATGAGTGGGCAGCAAGGAGGGACTGGGGGACACGTGGGTCGGCTGGGGAGCACCCAGGTCAGGATGGGGGACACTCAGCAGCCCACCCTGGGGTGCACAGGGCCAGCTGGCAGCAGGGCGTGCAGCTCCTGCTTGTGGGCGTAATCCAGTCCTGGATGGACCCGTGTCCACGCTGTGCAGGCGCCTCACTGCCAGCCGTGCCGGGGGCTGCGTGCTGTGGGGGGGGGCCCAGACCCTTCCCTTGGGGTTGGGCACCCCGGTGCCACCTCTGCACTCTCTGTCCTCCCCAGGGCAGTCAGCAGCTCAGTGACAAAGCAGCCGGGACCCTGACAAGCACCCAGCCCTGATGAGCACCGCCCTCAGCCAAGCACCCTCAGTAGGAGCAGCACAAATGGAACCCAGCCCGGCCCCACGCCTCAACATTTGGGGTCCCTCCCTGCTTCGCTCTGGCTGTGTATCCCCGAGATGAGGTGACCCCGTCCCCGCAATAAAGGCTCTGCGATGCCTGGCGGTGCCGTGCCGGTGCGCGAGCTGAAGCGTGCGGCGCGAGCCTGGCGTTAAGGCTTTGCTTGTTGTGTTTCTGGGTTGTGGGGACACGACCCCCAGGGCTCCCCCTAGGGCCGCAGCGCCCCGGGGACTCCCATCGGCACTGAGAAGCGCTCGGCTGCAGGGATCGGTCCCCACCCACGGGGCTTCGCCTGGTCTTCAGCACGGGAACCTTTGGAGCTGCATTGGAATAAACCCCGCCTGGGCTGAGGAGGGGTCCCGGCCGTCCCGCGTCTCCATCCCCGCGGGCAGGAGGGGTCCGTCGGGATCCGTCCGTGGCAGCCGCTCACGCCTGGATTTTCTCCACTGCTTTGTCAGCCACTGCCGGCACCGCCATGGGGCTGGGGACGTAATTGAAGGGGGTGACGCGGGCGGCGCGGCTCGGGGAGCCGTGCCGGCTGGCGGGGAAGGTCCCGGCGGGCGCCTCGTGCCCGAAGGAGATGGGCAGAGCGGCCTTGGTGGGCGCAGGGGCTTCGCCATCGTGCCGGGGGCTCTCCATCGTGGGCGAGGTGCTGGAGTTGGTCTTGGTGGTGGCGAAGTCCTCGGTCTGCACCACGGCGTCGCTGGTCTTCCTGGGGCCGGGGAGCGGCTCCTCGGCGGCGCTGAGCAGCGGCAGCGCGGTGGAGGGCAGCGTGCTCTGCAGGATGTGCGGGATGTCCTCATCGCGGATGCGTCGCCACGTGCCTTTCATCATCGCCATCGGCGGTTTCTCCTCCGTCGCCTCGCCGGGTTTCCGCCGCCGCGCCGACGCCTCGGAGCAAGCGGAGAGGACGGAGGACGGGCTGCCGGTGCGGCGCGGCACGCTGATGTTGGGCGATGAGGAATAGCGCTTGAACGGCTCTGGGACGGCCGTCTTCACCGGCAGCCGGGAGGGGCTCTCGGAGCTGGTCCTGCGCGGGGGCTTGGATGCGGCGGGGGCTTTGCAGCCGGGCTGCGCCCTGGGGACGAGCGGACGCGGCGCGGGCGCTGCTGGTTTGGCCGCTTTCAGCTCCTCGCAGCGGGACGAGCAGAGGAAGACGGTGGGGAGGGCGGCCCGGCTGCGCTGCGGGGACGCGCCGCGGGGCAGTGAGGTGGCCTGGGTGGCCGGGCCGTGCTCGGCGCGGTGCCGCAGCAGCAGGCTGGAGGACTCCTTGATGAAGGTGAGCTGCCGCAGGAAACCCGAGCGGTCCGAGTCGCTGCCGCTGGAGCGAGTGGATGACATCCGCACCAGGTTGAGCCGGCTGCTCCCCGCCCCCCCCGGCGTGCCGCCCTTCGCCTTGCCGCTGCCCTCCTGCTCCTCCAGCACCGGCATGGCCGAGCGCACCGGCAGCACCTTCCTGCTGGGCTTCTGCATGAAGGGGATGCGGACGGGTGACTTCTGCGTCTTGTGCTGCCGGGGGGCCGGGGATCTGGGGGCCGTGGGTTTGGCCGAGGGGCCGGGCGGGGAGGGGGGGCCGGTCGTCTTGCCCGTCTGCACGGGGCTCTGCTTGGAGAGCTGCGAGGGCGACGGCAGCTTCTTGGGCACGTGCTGCGAGGGCGTGGAGGTGCGGGACGAGCCCGAGGACGGCGGTCCTTTGGCGATGCGGGCAGGAGGCGTGGTGCTGCGTTTGGGCAGAGCCAGGTCCCCCCCCTCGGGCGGCTTCCCCAGGCGGTGCAGGCTGCGGGAACGCTGCTGGCTCAGCGACAGGTTCTTGGGCGCCGGGGGTTTGGCCATGGGGGATTTCTTTGGGGTGGAGCGCGGGCTGGGCGCGTCCTTGGCCAAGTTGGGCATGTAGATGACGGTCCTGCCGCGGAAAACCACCGGCAGGTTGGGCACGGGTTTGCTCGGTGCTGGGCTCCTCTCTGCCCTCGCATTGCCAGCAGGACGGGCGCTCGGCGCCTTCTTCGCCTCCGGGCGGCTCTTGGCACGCTCCCTCCTCTCCGCCTCCCGCCCGGCCGCACTTCCAGAGCGTTTCTTCTCAGCCCTGTCCAGGGAGAGCTGCAGAGTGGAGCCGACCGAGAGCCCTGAGACGAAGGAGAGGATGGAGTCAGACTCGGAGGAAGGCTCCCGTGACAGCGACGCCGCAGCCTGGTGCAGCCAGGTGACGATGGAGTTGGCTCCCTCCTGGATGGCCTCCCACTCCACGCTGTCCAGGTCGGAGCCGCCGTCGGAGCCCAAATCCTCGGAGCGATGCCTGCCCTCTGCCGGGCGCTCCCTCCCAGTGCCGCCCTTCGGCTTCTGCTTCCTCTCCGCCGTCCTCCGCCTCGTCGAGGGCCGCCGGCGCTTGGGCATGGCAGAGCCGATGCACTTCTGCAGCAGGTCGTCCTCCGAGTTGGGGCTGGGGGAGCGGCCCTGCGTCTGCCCCACCGCTGCGCGCTGCCGGGGGGCTGAACCACACTCCTCACCCTCGCCGGGGTTGCCGTCGCTCAGGGAGCTCATGGAGGAGCTCAGCGAGTAGCACGGCGGTGTCTCATCAGCAATCAGGTTGTGCTGCAGCTTGCCCTTCGCTTTGCCCTTCGTCTCAGGCTCCCTCCTGGGCACGGAGCCCCCGCAGCGCTCCCTCCGCAGCGCCCGGCCAGGCTGCGCTCCACCGCCGGGCACCTCCTTGCCCAGCCCAGGCTCATCCGAGTCGTGCTCATAGAAGCAGTAGACGGCTTCTTCGGTCGGCGTGGTGTGGCACAGTGACTGGAAGGCCGCCCCTTCCTCCCGCATACCGTCCTTCCTCCCGGGCAGGCTGCACGGCCGCGTCCCAGGGCTGCCGCTCCTCCCCACCTCTGGCTCCGTGCCGAGCACGGGTTGTCCCCGCTTCCCCTCCGCGCCTCTGCCCGGCGGCACGGGGCTGTCCCGGCTGGAGCCCGCCCTGCCCCTGCAGGCTGAGCTGGGCCGCGTGTGCGCTGAGCCGCCCAGAGCAGATCTCCGTGCCGGCGATGCCGCGGTGCCCATTTCCCGTCTCCTTCCCGCACCGCGGGGGGGTTCGGCCTCCTCCTTGGGGCCACGCAGGGTCTCATCGCTCAACGAGGCTGTGCTGGAGAAGTTGACGGGGGTCCCATCAGCCGAATCGGTGTAGGAGTCATCGTCCTTGTAGAGCTCCCGGGCGGTGGCACGGAGGTGCTTGGGGACAGCAGTGTGTGTGGGCATCAGCATGTAGACGGGGACGTGGAGGGGCTTCTTGGTGTGCGGGTGCAGGACCTGCCCCGAGAGCAGCGAGCTCTTCACCTTGCGGAAGCGCGAGGGCATGGCGGAGCTGATGCACTCCTTTAGGATCTCAATGTCATCGTCAGAGCTGGGCTCTGCCCGGCGTTGGCCCTCCAGGAGCTGCTCCTCCCGCTCCTCCCGCTCCTCGTGCACTGCAAAATTCAGGCTGTTTTTCTCGGGGAAGGTGGGCATCAGCTTCAGCTCCACGTCCTTCTGCACGTAGTGCTCGTGCAGCGGCAGGGCGCTCAGGCTGGAGGCGCACGAGAAATTCTCATTGGGTTTCTCCACTGTGAAATAAACCATGGAGTCCAGGTCCTGGGGCAGCTGGAAGCGCTCCTTGAAGTCAGTGATCTCCATGAACTTCTTGACGTTGTTCTCCCACTGGATGTTGAACTGGCTGGTCTCCTTCTCGGGTGGGCAGCCCAGCTCGAAGAGCGGCGTCTTGCTGCGGCTGGGTGGCATCGTCTGCCCTGGGCTGTCGGGCAGCTCGCTGGGGCTGACGGTGCCGCTGATCATCTCGCTGCATGGGTCGCTCTGGATGGAGCTGGCGATGGATGGGCTCTCGAAGCTGCCCAGAGAGCTGACGGAGCTGCAGCGGCTCATCACCAACGGCGTCTCCTGGATGTAGTTCTCTGAGGAGCTGGAGGGAGTGTGGTCCTCCTGGCGGGAGGGGGATGCATCCCTCAGGAAGAGCTTGTCACGTTTGGGGAAGGGGATGGTGATGGGCTGGGAGATCCCCACCGGTGTTGTCGGACCCATCTCCGCCTTCTCCTTCTCCTGCCTCGCGTCCTCAGCTTCCCCATCCCCTTCATCCATCTCCAGGATCTCCAGTGAGGAGTCACTGTCCAGGTCATTCTCGCTGTGGCTCTGCCCATCCAGCACATTGTCGGCTGAGGAGAGGGAGGAGAGGGAGCTGCAGCGGGAGAAGCAGATGGGGGTGTCCTCCACCGAGTACTTCTGCACCGACTCCTGCTCGGCCGGGGCCAGGGGCTGGGCTGGCAGCTTCTCAGGGATCTTGCTGAGGGTGTCGGCTGTTTGCAGGAGGGCCGGGGGCAGCCAGGCTTGCTTCCTTCCCAGCAGCGAGGTGTGGTGGCTGATGGCTGTGCTGCTCTTGGCCAGGCTCCCGAGCAAGGGCACATGCTGGTACGAGGGCGAGAGCTTGATGGTGTGCACCTGTGGGTCGGCGGGCAGCTTGCCGCCCATCTCCTTCTTCCTGCCGGTCTCCAGCGCTTTGGGACTGGGGAAGGTCACCGCCTTCCTGCCCCGCTCCGGCGCCTCCCTCTGCTCTGGCTTATCCGGCTCGGCCCTGAGCACAGGGGTGTCAGGCTTGGTGCCCAGGATGCTCTTGAGGTCCAGCCTGCTGGGCCGCTTCTGGTAGCGTTGCAGCTCATCCCTGTAGTCAAGAAAGGGGGCCCTGGTGCAGGGCTTCATGTGCTCCTTGGGGCAATAGCCATCGCTGGTGCTGCCGCTGTTGAGGCTGTCTGTGGACAGGCTGGTGTACGCCGTCTTCAGCCGCAGCAGCGCCCGCGCCCGGCTCAGTCCCTCACGCCTGGCAGAGCCTCCGGTGTCCGAGAGACGGCACGGGGAGCAGGAGTGGGCGCGCGCCTCGGGCGGCTCCTCGGGGCCGTACTGCCAGTCCAGGCCGTGGTCCTCTGAGCTGAGGCTGAAGCTGTCATCCGAGGACGTGTGCATGGTGGAGATGTCCTCCACCAGCTTGTCGATCTTGGCCACCGTGCTGGAGATCTTGTTGGCCAGCTTCTCGGCGGCCAAAGAGACGTCGTCCTCCGGCAGCGGCGGCTTCTTGGGCTCCGCCGGCTTCCCACCATCGTCCTTCTCCGGTTCTGGGCACCGTCTGTGCGCCAGAGCCCGCGGCAGCGCCTGGCCCTGTAGGAAGGAGGAGCCCAGGAACATGGAGAGGACGGAGGCGCTGGCTGTTTCCACACCAGTGGAGATGTTGGGCACCTCATCGTCATCGAAGCAGCCCGAGTCGGAGGCGTAGTCCTTCACCAGGCTCTCCATGTGCCGCAGCGGCTTCTTGGCGCTCTGGCTCTTCAAGCTCTGCTTCTCCATGGTGTCGAAGGTCTCAGCCAGGTGTTTGGCATCCAGCTCGGCCTCCAGCGCCTTCTGCTTGCGCATGTACAGAGACGGCATGCAAGAGCCCGGCGAGACGACGGCCGTGTCCTTGTACTTGGGGGGCCGGTTGGTGAGCAGGTTGCGGAGCGCGGCCGCGCTGCCCATGGCGATCATCTTGTGCTTGGAGTGGATGAGGTTGCGCAGCATGCTGACCGCCCCCAGGTCCCAGAGCAGCTCCTGGTCGCGGGGGCTGCGGGCAGACAGGTTCCAAAGCGTGCCGCAGGCATTGCTGACGATGGTGAGGCTGTGCGAGCGCAGGTGCTGCAGCAGCGTCTGCAGGCAGTTGTGGTCCCGGAGCACCTGCCTGTGGGATGGGAGGGACAGGGTGGAACGGGACGGGATGGGGAGGTCCAGCCATCGGCATAACGTGCACCCCAACCCCACACCGTGCCCCCCGACCCCCACCTGTAGTCCTCGCGCGTGGCGATGAGGCTGGAGACGTTGCGCAGGATGCCGCCGCCGCTCTCGATGATGGCCAGCGAGTTGCTCTGGCACTTGTAGGTGAGGGTGCTGACCAGGAAGCCCAGGGCTCCCTCCACGCCGCAGATGGCGGCTTTGTTCTCTGTGCTGTGCGCCGACAGGTTCCACAGCGCGCTCAGGACACTCTTCAGTGTGGATTCCTGTTTGGGGAGGGGGGTTCAGCCCCAGCCGTGCCGCTGTGCCCACCCCCACCCGCCCCGGCTCTCACCTTGGCCGCGTGCAGCGCGCACTGTGTCAGCCCCGCCACGCTGCCCACCTCCCGCAGCACCTTCTTGCTGTTGATGTCGGCTCTCCAGGAGAGGTTCCTCAGGATGCTCGAGACCACCTGGGTGAGCGGAGCACACGGGGCGTGTGGGCACGGCACCATCGCTGCGATGGGCACCATCCCCACACCCATCCATCCTGGCGGCACCCACCTGGTGCAGCTCCTCGCTGTCGGAGCCCAGCTGGGCCACGATGGCTTCCATGCAGCCCCGGCGTGAGCACAGCGTTGCCTGCAGGGAGACACGTGTGCTGAGCCCCGTGCTGCCCTGGCCCCACTTCTCACCACCCCCTTGGCCCCACAGACCTTGTTGACCACGTCCCCAAAGGTGAGGTTGGTGAGGGCCATCCCTGCGTAGCGCCGCAGCGCCAGGTTCAGGGGATCGCTCGTCATCTTGTGCATCTCGTAGTCCACCTGCAGCAGCTCAGCCACTGCCTGCAGCCCACCTGTGGGACAGGATGGGGTCACAGTGGCCTGACGCCCCCTGGGCACCACTGGGCTCCCCAGCATCGCTGCTCTCACCCCATCCCACCCCTTACCCAGCTCGTTCATGGCACGCCGGTACTCCTCATCGAAGGAGAGCTTCATGATGGCACAGGTGGCCTGGCAGATCTGGGGCTCGATGGGCACCGGTGCTGTGGGGACAATGGGGAATGATGGGGCCACCTGGGTGCCTGGCACACACGGACAGCATCACCTCCTCCTCCAGCACGCACTGACACGTGCTGTGCACACACACACACACACACACACCACTCTGCACATCCCTGAACACAGCTGTCCAGCCCTGCCCAGTCCCATACCAGTGCTGCCCTCGGGCCCTTTGCCCCCATCCCTGCTCTGCATCTGCAGCCAATCCCAGCAGGTCTCCGAGTAGGAGCGGATCTGCTCCAGCACGTGCAGCACCCGCATCTCCTTCTTGGCCTGCCCCTCATCGGGCTGCGAGAAGACGATGTTGTGCAGCGCGGCGTTGGCGCGCATGCGGGCATCCTTGGCACCGGTGGGGCTCTCGGGGGGGCCGGGTTCACGGTCGGAGTCGTGCAGGATCTGGATGAGCAGCGGCAGGCAGCCCGACTTGCGCATGGCCAGGCAGCTCTCCTGTGAGCTGGACATGGCCAGCAGCGTGCGCGACATGTCGTCCTTGTCCCTCGTGGCCAGCATGGACAGCAGCCAGAAGACCACCTCCACCTGCAGGGGGGTCGCGTTAGGCGTCACCTTGACCCCTCCTCCAACCCCCGCTTGGTGCAGCTGCCCCTCACCTTGCTGCTGCCCCCGTCCTCTGGGTGCGTCGGGACGTCCGCACTGCTGTCCTCCTCTGTGCCCGGCAGCTTTGTGCAGAGCTGGGGAGCACAGGGGGGGTTGCACGATGCCCACTGGTGTCCCCTCCCCGTGGGCCAGCTGCTTTCAGAGCCCAAACTGTGGGACACTCAGCGTTTTCTGCTCGCTGCACTTCCTCAAATGGCACCGCAGTGTTTGAAGCTGGATGGGGAACGCTGCCACCGGGAGGAATGGGGGAAGGGGGGACAGAGGGGGGCACAGCAGTGCACAACCCACAGCACTGCGAGGGGATGGGGGGAGACCTGTGGGGCACGAGGACAGCGCTGGAGGGACGGGGTGACGTAGGGGCCAGGAGTGACGGCGAGGGAGGAGCTGGGGTGATGGGGGAGCAGGGATGGGGGTGGGGGGCCGTGGCGGTGCCCTCCCCTCTGTCTCTCCCGTTGGCAGATGCTGCTGGAGCCCCGCGGCCGCCCGCCTGCCGCTCACCATGGCCTACTTCTCGTCTCCATGGCAACTGCCCATTTCACGGTGCCCAGACACACAAAGCCATGGCTGTGCCTTCGCAGGCGGGTGGTGGGGACGGGGATGGGGACATCGGCGGGGGGGGGCTGCGCCTTGTCCCCTCCTCACCTCGCTGTGACCCTGCCCAGCCCCAGCCCCGCTACCTGCGGCTCCGGAGGCTGCACTTTGTCCTGAGCCTCCATCAGCTCCTTGTCGATCTGCTCCAGCCGGGATGCCCGGATCTGTGCAGGACGGAGGGTGTCAGGGAGAGAGCTGGGACCCCCTGGCACCCGCAGGCAGTGGGAGGCACGATGCAGGGGTGTCAGCGGGCGGCTGCAGCAGGGGGGTTGCAAGGATGTGCACGGCTAGGCTGCAAAAAGCTGAGTGCAAAGTGCCTCAGTGGGGGATGGGCACGTGGGGATGCTGCAAGGATGCATCCAGCTGGGTGCGAGGACGCGTGGCGGTGAGGATTGCACAGGGCCGGGGGGGCAGGACGGGGTTGGGAGGTGGGAAATAGCCCCGATGGAAGCAGAGGAGCCAGGTCTCCAACCTGTGCCCGCTGCACCATCTCATCCGCCGTCCCGAAGCGTTCCTCCATCAGCGCTCGGATGTGCTGCGCCTCAAACTGCAGCTGCTGCCGGATGAGGTCCATCTGCATGGAGAACTGCAGGGGGGAGGGAGCACAGGGCCGGGTGAGGTGAGGTGGGGGGCAGGACCCCCCCTCCTGCACCCTGTAGGTCCCCGCTCACCGTCTCCACGTGGGGCAGCTCCTCCAGGCGCTTGGAGAGGCTCTGCAGCTGTGCGTAGTACCACACCTTCTCCTTCTCCTCCTTCTCGATCTCCCCCAGCAAGAAACACCTGGGTGAAACACAGCCCAGCTCGGCGCTGCCCCACATCGGGTTATCCCTGTGCCCCCTCCCCCCCACTCACCTCTCCCTGTCCAGCTCCTCCAGCAGCCGCAGGGTGGCCCTGCCGACGTCCCCAGCGCCGTCCCCATGGGTTGCGCCGTGCTGCGCGCTGTCCTCCCCGGCCCCCACTGCAACCTCTGGGAACTTGAGGCTGTAGAGGCTGCTCACATCCATCTGCAGAGCTGGCGATGGGGATGGCAGCGGATGGCCGGCTCGATCCGTGGCCCCACATCTTCCCCTTCTCTCCCCCCCCTCCGTGTGGCACCCACCTTTCAGCTGCTCCAGCACCTCCGTCTGCCCTGAGGACACCATCACCCGTGCCTCCTGCTCCAGCTTCCCCTGCAGGTGCTTCAGCACTTCCTAAACACACACACACACGGAGGGGCAGCCACTTGTGTGCCCCCTCCCGCAGCACAGAGCCCCCCGTGCCCCACCTCACCTTCATGTCCGAGGTCTCATTCTCCAGCTTGGAGAGGTGCTGGGAGTTGTCCTGCAGCTCACGCCGGAGGTGGCTGTTCTCCCTGCGCAGCGCCTCCACCTGCCGCACCAACTGCTCGTATGAGGCTGCTCCAGACATCTTCAGCTCCTCCAGGGCCTGCGGGGTGGGGAGGGGGGATTGGGCTGAAGGCATTCCCTGCATCCAGCCCTAGGATGGGGCTGGTTGCTGCCATGGGGCTCCCAAAGCCCCCCTGGTGTCCCACAGGGACAGACGCTTAGCGGCAGCCCCAGCTCTCCGCTGCCTTTGTGTCGCTTTTGTCTTCCCTGACATTCCACTGCTTTGTTCCCACCCGCAGCACCGCCAACCCTGGGTCCAAACGGAGCCCCCCCAGCTCTGCTCTCCCCCCCCTCCAAATCCATCCACATCCCCTTCCCCATACTGGGATCCCCCATCCCACCCGATGGGGGGCACCTGGTGCTGGCTCACGTGGCCATGGGGGGGATGCAGGCAGGGGTGGGGATGGGGGCCTCTGCGCCCCCCACGCGTTGCTCCGGTGTTGGCAATGAGCACGATGGCCCCGTGCTGCCTTCATCAGAGCCACGTGTGTGCACGAGTGCGTGTGCAATGGGTGTGCACACACTCAGCCTCTCCATCCCCCCGCTCACCCCCCACCTTGGCCCCACAGTGTGGGGTTGGGGACGTTGGGCGCCCGGGGCAGCGGTTGGGATCGATCCCAATGTGCTGCCTTTGTCTTTTTCCACAGCCACGCTTCTCCAACACCCCATGCAGCCCTTTTGTGCCCCCCCCCCCCGGGACAATGCTCTTCCCACTTCTCCCTCCATACATCCCAAGCACTGCAGACCCCACAGCCCTCCCTACAGCGAGGCGAAGACCCCCATGACGCAACACTTCCCTCCCCCCACAACGCTGCGGGGTGGCAGAGAACCCCCTGGGAAGGGGATGAACCCCATGGGGTGCTGGATTTGGGGCCGTGGGGCAGTGGGGTGCTATGAGAAGGAGCTCAGGGCATGGGATGCGGGAGGTGGTGGCTGCAGGATGGAGGCGGTGGGATGTGGGGGGAGGGATGTGGAACACCGGGATGCGGGAGGAACAATGGCAGGCGGAGGGATTTCAAAGGACGTGGGATGCAGGTTGGCAGTTGAGGGGCGTAGGATGAGGGATAGGATGAGGGATGAAATATGAGGGATGCGGGATGTGGGCTGCAGGATGCGGGCCCAGCACAGCCTCCTGTTGCTATGGCAACGGGAGATGGGATGGTGCGGGTTGGGACCGGGATCCTTCCCAGCCCCCAGGAGGTGGGGATGGATGGCGGTGGGGGATGCTGTAGGGTCGGTGCTGGGGGATCCCACAGATGGTGCTGTGTCACACTGCAGCCATTCGGAGGGGATGAGATGCGTGGCTGTGTGGGCACCGCCCCATTGCACAGCAAGGGAAACTGAGGCACGGATCCGTCCCCCTGCATCTCCCCTCCACAGCTCTGCAGTGACAGCTCTGCCTTTGGGGGGGTGGGATGCTGCTGGAAGAGCCAGTGGAGAGCGCAGGGGGCACTGCATCCCCCCCAGTGGAACGAGGACACTGTGTGGGATCCCCCCCCAGCTCGGGGAGGGGCTGTTGGTGCAGCCTCAGGGCTGGGGCAGCCCGCACTGCCCACTCCCCCCAGCTTCTGCCCCATTCTTGTTGTGGGGGGGTGTCTGGGGATGCTGGGGGGGGGGGTCTGAGCTCTGAACCGAATGCAGCAGCTCTGGCAGAGCTGCAGATCTGCAGCCAGTGGGGAGGGGCTGCACGCGGCACCTGCAGTTGTGAAGCAGCAGAATACGGTGGGGAGGGGGCCGGGCTGCCGTGCGGGGCCTGGAGACGCAGCTCTGCTCCCGTGCCCCCCTCCTGGCCCCCAGACAGCCACGTCCCATTGGACCCAGTGCTGCACTGTGGCCCCAGTATCACCCGCAGGCTCCACGCTCTGGGGCTGCGCTCCCAGCAGGGCACCCCAGGGTGATGCAATGGCTCAGGGCCTCTGGGGACCTGGCTCTCCCAAAACGTGGCAGTGACCCCTGTGCGCTCAGCGCCGGCCAGGAAGGTAGAATTCAGCCAGCAAAGGCCACTGCGGGACCGTGGTGAGTGGGGGGGCAGCAGCAGGATGACCGATGCACCGCACCGCGCCGCCTGCCCTCCTCCCCACACCGCCCAACCCATTGCACTGCCCAGCCTGCTCCACTGCACTGCTCACTGCAGCACTCCCTGCACTGCTCCCTGCACCACGCAGCCCGGCAGAACCAAGAAGGACCGTGGGGGCCACGTATCCCCATGTATCCCCATGTATCCCCACGTATCCCCATGTATCCCCACACACCTCGGCTCCCTGCAGCCCCACAGCAGCACCGGGGGACAGCGGTGTCACAGCAGGGACGGCCCCAGCTCTGCAGCAGCCACAGCTGAGCCCCACCGGCTGCGGCTCGCAGCCCCCCAGGGACGTTAACCAAACCGTGCTGTTGTCCCCAGCTCCTCTGATAGACACGGCTGTGAGCACAGCCCAGGGGACCCCCAACCACAGCAAACCTTCCCCCACCCCCCCCACCCTCCTCCACACCCAGCATCCAGGCTGCACTGTGCCCACTGTATCTTGCACAGCTCCGGGGGGGGGGGGGGGGGATGAAGAAATGCAGAGACGGGGGCTTCACACGGGGACACACATGGGGACATATGTGCACACGTATGTCACGCTCACAGCTCGTGCACAGATCCTGCCCCCCCCTCCCCATGCACACGCATGCACGGCGCTGCACACACGGATGCTGCACGCACACACGTCACAGACAAAAGCCGAGCTCTGGGGACCCCCCCCCCTCACCAGGGACCCCAATGTGAGGACCCCCCCCCCCCTCCCCCACACCGGGGACAGGTGGGGATGTAGGGCGGGGTGCAGGGAGGCAGCCCTGAGGGGGAGCTTTGAAGGGTGAGGACGATAAGGGCAGGTTTGGGGGTGCGTTGTGGGGGGGCTGAGATGCGGATCGGGGTGAGGGCTGGCATTGGAGGGGGGGGGGGGAGCGATGCTGAGACGCTGAGATCCCACCGACCCCCCCCCCACTGCCGCCTCCCACCCTCTGGGCGCAGAACGGGGATGGGGACGATCCGATCGGTGCCCCCCGCAGCCCGGGGGCCGCCCGCAAATCTCCCGCATTGTCCCCGCTTTGTCCCCGCAGCCCCAATCGGGATGGCAACCGCAACCGGGATGGAGCCGCGCCCCGGGGACGGCGGGGATTTGTGGGGGGGTGGAGGGGGGGGGATCTGGGAGGGGGGGGGCAGCAGGTGCGACCCTACCTCATCCCCAGCCGAGGGGGCGGCGGCGCGCAGGAGGGCGAGCAGCCCGCGCAGCCCCATCCAGCCGCATCCCGGCCCCGCGTCGCCGCGGCTGCGCCGCCCCCGCGCCCCCCCCGGCCGCGATCTTCCAGCGGAGCCGCCGCCGTTAGAGGGCAGCAGCCGGGAAGGGAGCGCCGTGCCACCCCCCCCCCAACCCAGAGCCCCGCGGGTTGGGCTGGGGGCTTCCATCCCCGCCCAGTGCCCCGCAGCCACGGGTTTTGCGGGGTACGAAGGACCCCCCGGGACCACCGCGGCCCAACGCAGCGTTTCGGCGCTGCGCCATCCCAGCCGAACGGAGAGACGGCGGCTCTTCCCCCCTCCCCACCCCCCCAGGACCGGCAGCGGGGACAGCAAATTGCCCCCCCCCCCCCCCCCCGTGGCGATGCGGTTTGTCCCATCGGAGCGACGCGGGGGGCTCCCAAAGGACCCCCGGCCCCTCGGGCTGCAGCGGGGGGATCGGTGTCAGCACCGCGCTGGAGCGGAGCGGAACCCAGCCGGCATCACCGCTCCTGGAGCGGCTCCATCAGCGCCCGCCCGTCCTCAGTTCGAACAGAACCGCGAGTTCGGCTGCCGACACGGCCCAGAAATCAGAGGGAAGCGCTCAGCCCCAGGGCAGCCGCCACAGCAGCGCCGGCAGAGGTTTTGCGGCTGCCCACCGACTGCAGGACGGGGCCACAAAGGGAACCAACCAAAACACCCATGGAAACAGCCGACACAACGGGCAGCTAAAAGTCTTTGGCATCCCTGGTTGGGGCCAGTAATTCTTCGGAGCGGCCGGCTGGGGCCACCCCTGTCCCTGCCCCACGAGGGGCATCCACTGCCTCTCTGGGTTCGGTCTGAAATGCCCCAAACGGAGTAGAAGCATCCACTCCTTTTCCACTAAAGACTGTGGGATGTCATCAATCCCCTTAGAGGCGTGTGCCAGGTGAGTTTAGCAAAAAGGGGCGCCGGAAAGCAGGTGACAAACTTGGGGAACAAAAAAAAAACCCAGCAAAATAATTAGGATGGCTGGATCACTTATTTAGGAAGCCCTGATGCAGCTCTGCCCCTGTGGAACCAAAGGCACAGGGCAGATCCTCTGAGCTCTCCCCCACATCAGAAACAGCTGGGAGGAACTTCTTTATTCACACAGAACACATTTTTTCCCAAAGCTCTTGTTTATTTCAGTGGGATGAACCTGGAGGAGTGGGTGGCACCAATCCCAGGCCGGCCGTGCTTCACTGGCTTGTAGGTGATGGAAAACTCCCCCAGGTAGTGACCGATCATCTCAGGCTGGAAAAGAAGCAGAGCTGGGGGTTAAAGGTGGTGCCAACGAGCAGCAGAGCAGAGCACATCTCACCCAACCACCTGCAGCGCATCGCTGTAACCCACGCTGGCTGAAGCCCGTGTAGTTTTTCTGCCTGCAGCACTTAGGGAATGGGGAACAGGCTGCAACTGCGGCATGGCTGCTGCGCCAGCACCTCCCACAGCAGCCAGGGACGGACAGCTGCTGGCTGCAGGTGAAACTGACCGGGACTCACAGCTCACTCTGCCCCCAGCACACACTGCAGGATCTGCTCAGTGTGCTTTCAGGTTGCCTTTAACACTGCAAACAAAACCCTCAGAGAAAACGTCACTGAATCCAGGCGGTGGGATCGGGTGGCACCACGTTATTCCACTCCTAGAAACTGCTCAGATTCCTTCCACTCCCCCCCCCCGGGTTTGCACGAGGCTCACCTTGATCTCCACCTGGTTGAAGGTTTTGCCGTTGTAGACGCCCACCATGCTGCCCACCATCTCGGGGAGGATGATCATATCGCGCAGGTGGGTCTTCACCACCTCGGGCTTCTCCATGGGCGGCGCCTCCTTCTTGGCCTTCCGGAGGCGCTTCAGCAAGGAGTGCTGCTTTCGGCGCAGCCCCCGGTTGAGGCGGCGGCGCTGGCGGGCGCTGTACAGCTGCATCAGCTGCTCGCTGCAAGGGATGGCCACGCTGAGGCTGCGGTGCCCGGCCTGGAGCCGCTCGCAGACCCTCCGGGTCCCTCATCGCGCACTCAGACACAGAAGCGCAGCCCCCCCGCACTCACTAGGACATATCGAGCAGCTGGTCCAGGTCCACTCCTCTGTAGGTGAACTTACGGAAAGTTCGCTTCTTCTTCTGCTCCACTTCTGCCTGTTGCCGAAGGGGGTGGAAGAGATGCGGCCATCAGAACCACGGCACCGCCGGGAAGGCCTCGCACCGAGCTCCGCCGGAGACCCCGCCGCCCCCAGCAGCCCTCAGGCCCCGACCCCTCCAAGCCGCTGGGACCGCCCGCCCGCCTCCCTCCATCCCCCGGCAGGGAAGAGGCCGCGTCGCCCTCGGCCGCAGCGGAGCCCCGAGCCCCAGGCGGCCGCCCCGGCGGCGGATGGAGCCCGATTAGAACCGCCGCCCCCCCCGGCCCGCACCCACCATCTTGGCCTGCTCTGCGCGGAAAGGGGGAGCGGAAGCGGCAAATCTCGCGAGAACGCCGGCGGGCGGAAGTGCACCAAGCCCAGCCCAGCACAGCGCTTCCGCCCTTACTGCCCTTAAAGGGGCCGCGCCCGGCAGAAGCGGAGGTGCGCGAGGAAGCGTGGGGGTGAGGCGGCAGCGCGAGGGGATTTTAAGGCAGGCAGGAGGACGAGGAAGAGACGGAGCCCGAGGGTGAGAGCGGCCGTCCAGCAGCGGAAACGTGGGTTTCTGACACATTCCAGTGGGTGGCACTGTGAAACTGTTCCTTCCTCGCTTGTCCAGGAGGGAGCCAACAGCGGGAGTCACCTCGCCCTGCCGCGGCCGCGTGGGTCGGGCTCCGGGCATCCGTCAGCCCCCATTCTCTCCATCCAGGCAGCGGTCTTCGGCTTCCAGTAACGGATCTTCGTCTGCTGCTGCTTTCCGGTGCAGTGCTTCCCATGGGAGGGATGTTCGGACCAGGACAGGAGGCAGGCAGGGCCGGGCAGCTGCAGGGCTGGCTCAGCCGCTGCCACGGAGCCTCGGCAGCCTCCTCGAGGTGCGACAGACACGTGCAGGCTCATCTCAGCACCGCTCCACGCTGCTTCTTTCTGCGCAGTCACGAGAAGGACGTTGCAGTTGACTCCAACCTGGAGTGGGGTCTGGCCAGCACTCATCATTGGACTCCAGCGCCCGTTATCCAAGAGAAGCTGGAAAGCAGAGCAACGACTGTAGGTCTGCTTCCATCCCGTGCCTCTCAGAAGAGCCGCGGTTTGCGTTATTTGGTTTGTGTTTCACAATGACTTACAATGCGGGACTCGGCCAGGAAGTCGAAGCGCTGAAGGCAGAGCACGGAGCTGCAGCCACCAGAGCTGCTCTGTCTCTGGAGCACCGCAGCCTTTGTGCTCGTGAAAAAGGAACCAGAGCCGAGCTGCTGGGACTCCCAGCCCAGTGGGACTGGGACGATTCAAACAGCCGGCTGCAGAAACCTCTCTACTCAAAGCCAGGTCAACCCGGTGCATCCCAGCTCTGTGCTGCTCCACCCAGTGCAGGAAGCAGCTGTGGGCTGCAGAGCTGCAGATTGTGGCTGTTGCCTTGCAGAATTACAGCACCAGCGATGCTGCATGCATGTATTTAACTCCCAAATGAAGGGCAACCGGGCAGGGATCTAAGCCTGCCTGTAGACCCAGACTGACCCACTTTGCACTGGTCTCAGCAGCTGCAGGCACGCAGCCAAAGGTTTCCTGAATGCAAGCATCCATCAGAGGTACGGAGAGCAGACAGGAATAAAGAGCTCGGCCTCTGATCAGCTCTAACCAAAGTTATCTCCCCGTTTCCCAAGCGGACAAAGCAGAGACGAAAGGCGTTTTCCTGGAGCTGAACAAACCTGTCGGGTCTGAGGTCAGAACACAGCAGCATTCGATGCCCATCGTCACCATGCAAAGCGAGCGACCACCCAGAGCCACGCACAGCTGTGTGCAAGCCAGCGGCCTGGGGACCTGAGGCAGCAGCCGTTGCTGAGGTCAGTGCAGCCCAGGCAGCAGCTCTGCAGTGTCCACAAGCTGAGCAGGCGGTGCCACGCAGCTCCTCAGCAGCACAGCTGCTCCTCTCACGAGCCGGGTGGGAAAAGCTGAGCGGCACCCATCATACAGACTGCGTGCTGCTGGGAGCTGAACGGTGAGCAGCCAGGCACAGCGTAAGCCTGCAGTGCTGATGCTGAGATGGTTTTCAAGAGCACCAATTGATTTCTCATGGAAAGACGAATTCACAAGAAAGCTCTTTGTAAAAATAAAAAAAAAGGAAAACAAAAATGGAGACAGGCTTGTGTTTCTAATCCAAATGTACTTCTCTTTATTCAAACCAGGGGTCATCACTGGTTAGTGCAAAATGCACCTAAACCTTTTGCCTGAGGGAAATCTACATCTTAACAAGGCCTCCGTTAACCCCTAATGAAACCCACAGAGGATTCGAAAGAGTTCGAAGCACAGCTCCCAGCCCGCGCTCCGTGAAGTGACTCTGTGCACCGACACGTCTGCACCGCCTTGTTACCAGCTCCACACACCGGGTAACAAATGCAAAACACACTCAGTAGATTTCTTTTTTTTTTCTTTTTTTTTTTTTTTCTTTTTTTTAAACTCCCAGAGTTTCTGACCCATCCACCGCTGCTGGCAGCAGTGAAGGAGCTGCAGCTCAGCCTCGCTTCCACCAGTGCTAACGGAAACCCTGTTTTAAATTAAAAAATAAGCCAGCATACATAGTAGAAAATTTTCTCTTAAAAATTTCACAATCTGTAAATGTATATATATATATATTTTGTTTTTTTTGTTTTTTTTTTCTTTCTTTTAAACATAAAAGTTTACAATATACGGTAAAACAAAAGGCTCAGGAAAAAAATAATTTCCAAAAAAAAAAAAAAAAAAAGAAAAAGAAACCTGAAGTTTTGAATTAAAGCTGAAGACATTTTTAAAACCCTGTAGTTTGAACCAGTGACATTTTCTTTATTTGTGCTGATGGGTTAAGAGAAAGGAAAATGTTTAAAAACTGCAGTCCAAACACCCACAGCTTTGCCTTCAGAAGCCATCTTCCCCCACCCCCCCCCCCAAAAAAAAAAAAACAAAAAAAAAAAACGTTGTTAGGTTTTTCTTCCATCAAGTATGTGATTGTCACAAGTTCAGAAGTCTGGGATCCCTGGGTCCTGCTGTGCCAGGCATCCACGTGGGCAGAATTCCCTGATTGCCAGCACAGCGCTGCTAGCGCCGGTAGGGGTGGAATCCTTGCACGTTATGGTTCTGTCCTCGTCCAAAACCGCTTCCTCCTGCAGGCGGACCGCTGGAGGGCTGCACCGAGGGGCCTCCGTAGGGAGGGGGCTGCTGGCTGGGATCAGAGAAACCTTGTCCAAAACCACTCAAGTCTTGTCCATACCCTGGGGAGAAGGGGAGAGAGGCAGCAGTGAGCTTCTGTGCCGTTGATGGGCGCAAACAGAGCGGCAGAGGTGCACGTTCAGAACCTGATGCCTTTCCTTTCCCCCCACGCAGCCCCTGGAACACAAACAGCTCCATCTGACTTGAGACACACAGCTGCTTCCAGTTCCTAAAGTGTTCTACCTTACGATACAGCCAGGTTAAAAGCACAACTGAACAGGTATGTAGGAACAGCAGGTTTCACTTTTGAGGTCATCTTAGCCAGGCCAGCATCTAAAGCTGTCACATCACTGCTGCTCAGGCACGTGAAGCAGCCTCCTGGTAGGGGTTCATGGTTTTGGTTTTGTTTTGCTAGAAGCCAGCACTGCCAGGTGCAGCAGGGCAGAAGATGCAGCAAGGAAGCCGGTCTGGTAGGTCAGCTTTGTAACAGAACCGAAGCATTACAACTGACACAATCTGATACACTTGCCCTAAAGCTCGGCCTGTTGGTCTCATATCTGTTTTAAGTTCAAAACAACAAAGTTCCACCTTAAAGCCTGACCCCATGCCCCCCTGGTGCTGCTGCAGATGGTGGAGAACACTTCTAACCCGGCTCAGGGTAACAGTAAAGTAAGTAAACAGCTCCACAGCCCTCTCTCACACGTCCCCTAAGGCAATGACCACAGCAGAGCTCAGCTTTACACCTGACAGCAGCTTAAAGTTAACCTTCACTCTGTCCTTCCTCAGCACCCCCTGCTCTGCCAAGGGAAAGATTCAGACCTGGCAGAATTTGGGGACGGGGAGAAAGGGCGAAGATGAAAGAACTGCTGGAATTCTTGCTGCTAATATGAAAAGCAAAAAGATGCAAATTAAGAACACTGAGAAATGAAGAAATGTAATAAAAGTTTCCTTAATTAAATACAACTCTTAATCATAACAGCAGCATCGTGTAAGCCTCTGCTATAAAAGAGGGTATTAAGAACCCTAATTACTCGGTGTATTTCTGCAGTTCTGCCTCTCCCTGTGCAGGCTTAAAGCAGGTTTAACTCTCTTAATCCAAAACAAAGTCTCTTAGCATGTCTTCAGCATTTCAATTTCAAGCTCTGCCTGCCTCTCAGGACTTGCTACCACTAATGAGACTTAAAACATGCCTACCACAAGGCTTCTATTAACTCAAAATGCTAATCCAGTCTCTTTTCTTCCCCTCCTCCACACAAAGATAAGCAGACTACCAAAAATACCATTGTTTGCCAAGGGGTGAGGCTCAGAAAGAATCTCACTATCCGGAGCAGTGCTACAGCGTTCAGGGTGAGAAAACCACAGCCCTGCATTCGTTTCTCACAAAGGCACAGCGCTAACAGCCAGGCACTGCAGTACAAGCTGTCCTTTCTCACTTCCTGTGCTCCTGCTGCAGCTCTCAGCAGCAGCTCGCAGTGAAGCACAGCTCACCTGCCCTTCAGAAGGCTCTGCTCTCTGAACGAGCTGTGCCACCCAGCACGGGTTTCATGTCTTGCTCACGAAAGCTGAGCTGGCTTTGGCTGCACAGGATAAAGCGCCGCCAGTGCAGCAGCTTGGGAAGCGACCAGCAGCATCACTCAGCACTTCAGCCACGAGTTTTGACTTCAGCCAGCTAATGAACACACAGCACTGATCTGTCCCTGCTTGCACGAGGAAACATTGGAGCCTTATTGCTCCCCCCACCCGCTCAGAAGAGATCCTGAAGGAACACAGGTTCGTTTCCCCCAGGCAGATACACCAAGAGCACGGCTGTGAACAGGAGCCACCCACCGATGTCTCACTGCTCAGCCTGACCACAGGAGTGAAAACAAAGCACTTGCACGTAGCCTGAAGGGTCCTGAGAACAGGAACCCAGCCCTAGTAAGAAATGAGAGCAGGGTGATGAACCCCAAGGCAGCCCTGCACAGAGATCAGCCTGCAGGCTGAGGGAGGCACACCCAAGTCAGTGCTTCACTTACCAGGGTTTACATCCATCCCAGCTGTGAACACAGCAGCGTTTCAGATGCTGTCATGCTGGGACAAATCTGAAAACGCCACAGTGATCAGGTAACTCAGTGCCTCCTCAGAGCCCACGAGCCTTGTGCATTCATGTAAAAACATGCAGCTCAGCCACGCTGCCAGCTGTACAGCAACGCTGCTGAACTGATTTGCAAACACACCGAGAGCTGAAGCTTCTGTGAGAAGTTCAGAAGGTTACAAGCAGCTCTGTGAGCAGCTGGGTGATTCTGCTGCAGAACAGCACAGGAAATCCCTCCACCTCTGCTAGTTGTGCTCCTAACAGACTGCAGGCTGAGAGACTTCCTAGCATACACAAGAGCCAGGAGCTACTGCACAGCCAATAGAGGAACCCCCCAGTTTTCCAGCATGTTGGAAGAGAGATTCTTCCCAGACCTCCAACACATCCCCAGTAACGGCACCCACTGAACAGAAATTAAACATGCTACTTTATTTAGCGTGGCCCACCTCCATTCAAAAACAATCTGCAAAGAAGCTGCACCAAGACCCCCCCCAAAAAAACCAACCCACTTCCTCTTGAGTCACAAGGACAAAGCTTTTCTATGACAGCAACTGCCTTTGTAACAAACTTCTCAAGCTCAGCAACAAGAGAAGATCTGCTTGCTTTACCAGTTTACCTGGAAGGCTAATCCTCCTTTGGGGACTGCCATCTTAATCCTCAGGCCTACTGCAAAAATCAACCTCAGAAATGTAAAACGATCAATTAAAGTCTTCAGAAAAATGTCTGTGCCACAGATGGGACAACGCTGCTCAGAGGTGGGACGGACTGGAAAAGCAGCATGAAGTCCCTGTTTCCACAGACAGGGGCACTTCAAAGGAGCACAGACGCCTTTTTTTGTTTGATAATACAATCTGACTGTCTGAAAATACGTCCTATCAGCATCTTTACCAGCTACCTCCAACAGTTACTTGCAGAGCACAAACAATGCTCGAAGCATTACGTGCTCCTGGCAGAGCCACAACTCCTGACAGACAGGAGAGGGACAAGGATGGGAGCAGAAAGCACACAGCCTGGATTTTAAGACCCCTGCCTCTCGATGTTACTCAAGTCTTTCTCCAACCTCTTGAAGTCAGTTAAACAAAACAGCTGACTGCAAGCTGCGTGAAGCTACTAGAGACAAGTTTTAAGCACAGATTCAGGCTCAGTGTGAACCAGTGACGAATCCTATCAGTGCACACATCTCAGGACTGCTCTGCAGGACACGCAATGGCCAGAGCTGGTTAACAGAACTCCTGCTGGCTGCAAGACCAGATGGTTTAAGGACCACTTGAGAGCTGGCACGTCCACCCTCCAGAGAAGTGCTGTCAGTGTTAGCAAGCAGTTTCTCAATGCTGACATTCTACCCAACTGGAAAAGAAAAATCAGCAAGGGGAAGGAGAAGGATGGAGCTGAGCTCGTTTCACACGCAGTTACTTACCAAATTGACTGTAAGGGAATTCTGGCTGAGCAGTTGGGGGTTTGCTCATGTCCTGAGTTGCCTGAGATGGCGGCGGTGGTGGAGGAAAAGCTAGTGGTGCTGCCCCTGGAGTGGCAGGTGGAGGGGGGACTCCAGGTGGGGCAAACTGGTCAGGTGGAGGAGGAGGAGCACCGTAACCAAAAGCTGAAACACGAGCAGAGTGCAATATGTGATGACAGCAAACACCACTCTGACTTCTTGCAGGGCTTTGGGGTATAAAACAGTTGGTTTTTCTCCCTCTAAATACTGGCAAGTCTACAATTAAAGTAGAAATGCTTGCTACGCGTAGCTGGACATGCAGAAATTCACCCCCACCTCAGCTCAAAGTCCCAGCACCTCACCTTCTAACACAACAAATCTCACCCAAAGGAAGACTACAGCCACACCAGCAACCAGCAGAGAGGATGTGACTAAGCAGGACAACAAGTTCTTGTGTGCACATGCAAGGATGCGAGGAGGGAACCCTATTACTCAAGACCTTAGGATGGGGGGAAAAAAAAAATACCCCAAACAAGTGGTTTGTTCATTGGAGAACAGGGCGCTGTGTGGCATCCTCCATCATTTTTAAACCAAGTCTGTGACTGAGGTGGCCTGAGGGCACAAATGCTCTAATCCTATTTACATTTTCCAATGTCACTCGTGACCTGAATTCCTTAAGCTTCTCTAGAAATCCCAGCCTGTGTCCAGCCCACACCACAGTGCAACAATCTCTTCAGTTTTCTCACAGTTGTAATAGAGGCATGCAAGAAACCTCAACCTGTTTAGCAACACAGCTTTAAACAGGAGAATGTCAACTCTTACATCACCCAATAAAAAAAGTAAGCAAACTAACTGACAAAGACTTATGGTTGATTATAACTCGGAATACACAACCTAGGCAACAAAAAAACCCCACCTAAGCACAGTTTTTAAGAAGTCCAGAGAAAGATGAGCAAAAACTCGAGACTGAATGTGGTGCTGAGGCTGCTGCAGGCACTTACTAAATGGTGGAGGGGTGCCGTAGCCCTGTGGGAATCCTTGTGGAGGTGGAAATCCTCCCGGAGGTGTGGAAACAATATATGAGGCAAACGGAGGAGGAGGTGGGGGAGCTCCTCGTCCCGGAGGAGGTGGGCCGTATCCACCTGGAGAATGAAAAGAAGCGAGGAGCTGCAGTGGGTCGACAGGGAGAAGCTGCTGTTGGAGTCGGCGTTCTGCAGATGGGGGTGAAGCTGCTGCATCAGTTTCAGATGCAGCTTCAGCCCTCCTCGGATTCTTACTGTGGGCAGTACCAGCACTCCTCCTCCGAGCATCTCTACCATACATAATTGCATTTCAGAATGGAATTCTTTGATAGCAAATTAACGTGGTTGGCAACACCAGGATGCACGTCAGCTCCCATTACCGGTTTGTGACAAACATTCTGCCTTTCTCCTTCGTTCCTTCAGCTCAAATTAAACCAAGCTTTTAGACGTGCAGGCTGTTAAACATTACAGAAATCCACAAATCGCCCTGGGTCCTTAAGGAAACCACAGCCCCACTCAGGATTCCTCTGCTAAGATCAGACCCATGTAATGCACTTACCTATTGCCTGTCCAGCTGGCACCCACATCCCTGAAACAAAGCAGAAAAAGCAATTTACCACAGCTGTACACTATGAAAAAGGACACGTTCAGAGAAAGCTAATCTTGCTCTAGGCTCTGCAACAGACTGGATGCCCTCCCAGCATCCCTTATGGATCTGTATTTTACGGGCCAAGAAAAACTCACAAGGCTCCGAATCGTTCAGCAAATAATGGAGAAACACCCAGCAGCCTTGGAAGTGCAAGCACACCAAGAACCTGCACAGAATAAAAACCCCAGCACTGGGAATCACAGCAGGCTGCACATCCAGAGGGCACCTCACCCATCTTCAGCTTCATCCTATTTGTTTCGGAAGTTTCTGAACCACACAAACTGCAGCATTTAGAAAGGGAAACGCATTCATGTTTCACACTAATCTTGCCAGGAGATCAGCTATAATTTCCCCTACAAATAACCACACTGAAACTAATCTGGTTTCTCCATTTGTGCAGTTGCAGATTAGCACATCTGTGCAGAATGTCAGAGCCTCAGCTGCAGCTTTCAAGTTAATAAGCACCATGGGGAAACAGGCAATCCCTCCACTGAGGTATCACCTAGTGGAGCAATAGATGAAGCACTGTTACTTCCTTTAACCCCCCAGGTGAAAATTTCTCATATATCAGAGAAAGCAAGATCTGTTCTGTCAAATGCAACTCAATTATACCGCTGCATTTCTCCCTAAGTTATGGAAACTGCCTCTGGATGAACTCAGCATATTTTCCCATCTCCACGATCTTGAGGGGGTTGCAGCCATCAAAACCAAACACGTGGCTGCTCCCCTCAGCCCTCAAGGGTTCGAGCTCAATCAAGACCATTAGAAGCAGTAAGTGCTCTCTTGCACCACTGCTAGCCCCAGAGCTGCTTGTTATTTTTCTAGGCTACATTAAGCAATAAAATCCAGAGACAAGGCCATCTGTTTTTCTCTTATCCCTTTCGAATTTCACTTGTAACTTCCTCTGGAACTGCCTCATCCTTCAAAACCTGGATTTCAACTGAGTTTTCAGCTGAGTCTCATGCAGGTCACGTTCCCACAGCTGGAGTTGCAGCTCGAGCTGCTCAGCTTCCTCAGCACCTTCTCCACGTTACCACAAAGCACTGATCTGACCTCAGGACAGGGGGAGGCAAACAGCACAGCTTGCAGCACGCTGGGCTCCGCACAGCCCACTGCCTCCTGTCCCACCCAGCAACGTGTTTGGGGAAGAAGAAGAAAAAAAGCACCGACACCCAGAGCTCTGCTGTGCTATCAATGATCCAGCACAGAAATAACATCGATACAGCTGGAAGTTCCGACGCTCGCCAGATGTACCAGGGTACCAGAAGGCTTTCAAGACAAGATTCTCTGCCAGCAGCCGTCCTGAGACACTGAAGGAAGTACCTTGAGGGCCATAACCTTGTTGCCAGGTCGGAGGGGGCTGCCCTGCCCAGCCATTGGCAGCGCTTGGCATGATCCTGCTTCCCCACTGGCTGGCACCGGGGGGCCCTGGAGTTTGGCTTTTGCTATCACGAGGTTCTGCACGTTTCACCTCCACCTAAACAAACAGAGTTGCCATTTAGGAGAGATGGTGCAGGTTAGGATACCCCCCTTCCCTTCACACACACCCTTAATTACACTTAAGACTACGCTTAGCATCTTACGACTTATGTCTAAGTACTTAATTATTAAACTTAAGGCCAGTAATTTAAAATGTTTCTCAGGTACAACGTACGTGATGGTAAGACAATTGAAGTCCTACTGTTGAGGGATTTCAAGCAAAACACATCCTGCTAATCATTCCTGTGCCATCATTGCCCAGTATTCGTTTGCTTTGACCTTAAAACAGCAGTACCCTCTTACAACGACTCTTCACTTATCAAGGCTTCGTGTTTTCAGCTGCTCAGAGACCACTTGAACATTTAAGACAGGAGTTAGAAGGTGGAATTTGCAGGAAAAAATAACAACAACTCGGAGTAAAGAGTGCACTCTGAAAAAGGGTACTAATGCTTTAACCATTGCTTGGGGTTCATTCCAAAGTTACAGTTTAAACCCACCCCGTCTAACTGCAATTTCAGTTCTGCTCATACCTGAGAAACACACGTTTGGTTTTGCTTTCTTTTTTTTTTTATTATTTTTTTTTAATTATTATTATTTTTCTTTTTATTTTTTCTTTTTTTCTTTTTTTTTTTTTAAACTTAAGAATTTATTGAAATGTCTAATGGAAGATAAAGACTTACCTTCCCCAGGCTAACGCTTAAAGAATCTCAATTAACTCAAACAATGTCAGAGGGAATGGATGTGATAAGAGAATCTTACATTACATCTAACAAAAAAGTAAACAAACATGCAAGTAATAAAAATGGACAGTTGAGTCAATAAGAAGCAAATCTTCATACTGTGTTAAGTCAGTGACAAAAGCCCTCCTGTTCTCCAAATTAGTGAGCCACAGTGCTGAACTTATTTTATTCAGAGATAAAGTGCCCCAGTGTGCCATAAGTGCATCTGACCTACTTAAAATAAGCTGCACATTCAATAGAAACCTCTCTCTCTCTCGAAAAAATCCACTTTCTGATTTAATGAAACCCTCTCAGCAGTCATGCATGCTGAATTAAAGCCTTTTTTTTTTATACATATATATATATATTTTTTTTAATGATTAATTTTAATGGGTGCCAGAGTACAAAGGAAATAAATCTCAACCATCAATGGGCCTGAGCTGTATGGAAAATAAAGTATTCAGAATTCTTCCTGCCACGTCTTAAAACCCATTCATGTCAGAGAACAAACAGGAAATAGGCACAAGGCAAGGACAAAGCCCCCAGCCCAGCCCCCCGCTGCCCCAGGGACATCACACATGACAGTAACCAAATCTCTGTCAGCTGAAGGCCCTTCCACACAGGAACCCAGGGAATCTTTCAAAGGGCTCAAATTAATGAGTCTTAACACATGTGCCCTCAGGGAATCCAGTTATTGCTTACAAAAGCAGAGGCCTTCTTGCAATTTTAATTTTTTTCTCCTTTTTTTTTTTTTCCTTTTTTTCCTCCTTTCAACAACATATGGATTCATTTCAGCAATACCTTTTGAATTACCAGGAAGAGGGAGATGGTGTTTTTTAAAGCAGGCATCATTAGTCAATGAAGGGCAGGGAGTATCTGCTGCTCCTTTATCTACACGGGAGAATTCCATTAATTTTCCAGTGCTCATTTGGAAGCAGAGAGCTGCCAAACTGAGGACTGAAAGAAAAAAATGTACCTTTGTACAACATTCTGAAGCTACAGTGAAGTTGCAGCACCAGGAAGGCATTCCCACTGGCTGCACCGTCGCTGTCAGCGAAAGGGAAAACAAGCAAAACCTGATTGTTTGACTTCCAGAATGAAACAGCCTGAGAAACAAAGGAGAAACCTGCACGAGCTGCACTCCCAGCTCTGCTACCAGGCAGCAAGGCTCACGCAGGGCTCTCCTTCCTTCCCCTCCTGCTGCCTTCTGTCCCCTGCTCACGGCTCTCAGTGCAGCACAAGGGCAGAGCACAGGATGCTCCACATCCACGCAGCAACTCGGTGCTTCTGCTGGGCCCCTGGCTGGAGGAGAGCACCAGCAACCCAGAACACGCAGCAGAGCTCCTCGTTACACAGGCGCATTCCTTCCCTCGCTTCATTGCGTTAATTAGGAGATCTGCCCACCTCTCCCAACCAAAACGGGTTCACGGGGATAAAAAAGCTCTGCGCGCTGCAAAATCCAGCAAGTAAAATTCCATGGCTAGGAAATGTTCCTTATTTATGAAATAAATCATATTTATGAAATGCCAGCCCATAGAAAGGCAATGCCAGATTTCTGCCAGTGATTTAAGGCGAATGACCCCAGCCTGGGGTGCCCTTGAAACATCTTCATTTCAAGGTCAGCAGTTCTAACCTTTCCTTTAAAAACTGTGGATACAGAGAAAAGCTTGAATCTTACTGGGATTTCTCAGGGTTAAATTCCCTTTCAGAAGCTCTGATTTTCCCTATATAAAAAACCTGGGTACCCTGCAACAATTTGCTTTGCTTTTCCATTTTCTTTTCCCCCACCAGTACAAGCACGCTCCTTGCTGAGTGACTTCAAAGCAGGCATAAAAGATTCCTCCCTATCAAACATCCATTTGCTGACAACACAGTATGAAGATGAAACAACCAGAGGTCACTTAACTGCATTGTGATTAAATACTATATAGAGTACGTGGGTTTGTACCAAAGTTTCACAGTAAGTGACCCAATTTATTAAAAAACCAATCCTTCACGATGTTTTGTGTGGCTCTTTTTGGTTTGGGTTGTTTGGGGTGGTTGTTTTTTTAGCTTTTCTTTTAGTGTTAAGATTCCAGGCAGTCGCTCACGGCACGCCATCTCAAAATGGGAGAATCAAATACACATCTGAAGGAGTGGTGTCTGAAACCAAGCCTTGAACAACTCAGATTTCATTGGGATCCTGGTTTTCCAATAGCTGGAAACAACTGACTTCTACCCTCGCTCCCAGGAAGCAAAGCAGTGCTTCAGCAGCACTCAGCAGTCCAACCCAGCACGAGCGGCACCCAGCCAGCGCTCCCCTCCAGGTCTGTAGCACAAGGCCTCACCCAACGCCTCCAAAGAAATGAAAGCCCACCAGGAATCCCCCCCACAGCCCAAGTCCCCAGGCTTTCAGGATCCTTGCCCTCCTGAGGGCTGCGCCGCTCGCTAACTGCCTCTCTCAGCTGCTTCAGCAAACTCAGACTTTCCCCACCTTCATGGATAAAGCCTTGAATTTGGACTCGCGCGTCCCCCGTCTGGCTGAATCCTTGGCTAGAGTTCTGCTCGCCAGTGAAATTGCTAGTTGCCCAAGACTTGGTTCTTTCTTAAGGTAAAATAAAACTACAACTACACACTTTTTTGCCCATGATGTCGTGAAAATGCATGTTGACAGCCTGGTCCACTGATTGTTCGTCCTCGAAAGTAATAAATCCAAAACCTAGCCAACGACGAAGAGTGAATCAAGGTAGCAGGGTGTTGTGACACAAAACAGGATGATGAACAGTATTAGGGGCGGACCAAGGGTTCAAGCAGGGGTTTCAGATAACCAAGACTTGTGTTAAATTTTCAACCAAAAAAAAAAAGTCAAGTTTGAGAAAACTGCAGTGGATTGGTCCTGCAGCAAGGCAATCAATGCCTCAGCTTGCTTTCACACATGCAACTTACAGACTAAGCTAGTTCACTTCGGAGCTTGGTTTTATTCCTAACCTACCTATGGAAATGGGAAAAAAAGTGCTAGCATAGTCATAAGTGTAACTGTGCCACAAGAGTGAGAATGAAGTGCTTGTGGGACACAGAATTACAAGTGAAGCAATTTGCCTCTCCCTGCTTCTGATCGAGACTGGAATCCCAGGAAAAAACAAACCTGTTCTGCCCCTGCGCCCCAAAGCTGCAAAGCCACTGCGTCCCATCCCTCATCCCACTCTTCCAGTTAGGAAATATTTTCCGTGGAAAATAAGAAAGTCATCTCGGAAATGTAGCTGTTAAAGCATGAAAAAAAAATTTTTGGACCACTCCATGGATGAATGAAAAGCTTCAGAAACTAACAACCTAGATCAGAGGTTCTCAATTCTGTTTTCGGGTTTGTTTTTTCTTTGTGTATCTAAGAGAAAGCACTTTATGGACAAGACTTCTTCCAAACACGGCATCCCCTGATAACTACAGCAGTGCTGCTTACACGGCATGTCAGACTTGTTGCCGTGCCTCAGCCTATTTTGTTTCTTACGTTTCCTGCTGCTTTGCTCTCAGATATCCGTGCAGCTTTTCTCAGTCCCTCTTTTTGCTCACAGCACTGCTGCTGACTGCTCCAGATCCCCGGGGTGACCAGCTCCCTTTTATCTGACCGCAGCCCTTGATGTCGGCAGCTCAGCTGAATCCAGCAGCTACTTAAAAGGCCATAAGGGACAGGAAAACAGGCAGGAAATGAGGCAAAAACCCAGGTCTGAATCCCTTTCTGAGGTTACGCTTTGAGAACCGCTGCTCTCAGGTTGGAGCTGCTGACACGGCCGAGAGAGTGGCACAATGGTGGTTAATCTCACAGAACACAGGGCTGGTTCATGCCATCAACCACTCGCTGCTGGTGTAACAACCAAATCCCACTAAGAACACATGCAGTACGTCAACTGTGCCATTCTTTAGATTAGCTAAGGGTAGAGCAATAAAATTAGAAAGAAAAACGAGGTGCAGCATCAAAAGCATATGGAACATGGATGCGTTTTTGCTTTTCTGAAACCCAAGATCTCCCCCTTGGTTTGCATTTTGCTTTGCAGCTAGTGCTGACAGCAGCCATATATTGCTCTAAAGCGTTAAACAGAGATACAGTATCTATAACAGTTAGTGTCTCTCTAAGCTTATCCAACTGGGTTGGGTAAGCCCAAAGAGGCCTATTGTAGAGAAGGTTTATATATATATATATATATAAAAATACACAAAGATACAGGCCAAAATAGAGTCCAGCAGGTCAAATTCTGCTGTCAGCAACAAGAGCAAAAGACATCACTTAAATAAAAGTAAAATAAAAGAACTTAGCATTTCCCACACACAAGAGACTGGCAGTATAAACGAAGTTTGGCTGAGCTGTGATGAAAGCAGCCTCGAAGCGAGAGCAGCATTTCATCACAATATATTTGTCTGGGGTTAAAATCTGCACGTCAGAGCCAAAAGAAAGTTGTGTTTAAATCACACGTTTAGTAGTGCTGCCTTCATTTTGAAAGGCACGAGAAAGGAAAGTGCTGGGTACTGTCTACATGGGCAGGCTGCTCTCTTAGCTTCATTCTGAGAAGGCTGAAGGAGAGGAATAGAGGGCGATGTGGGATGCAGCAGGAAAGGCAGGAAAGAAAAAAGGGGCAGAAAAAAAGCATTTCAAAAGGACCAAAGGTCATAAAATTACGGAACGGTGAAGAAATCAGGATCCAACACACAGCAAAATTCCAAGAACGTGGAATTTTGAGGAGAGCAAAAGTGACAGAGTCGCTTCATTCGTCAAAGGCCAAGACATCTTCGAAGACAAGAGAAAGTCTTTGCACTTAGAGGAACCCAAGTGGACTAGCAAACAGAGCAACGAGGCTGTGCTGCAGCCAAGTGGAAGAGAACACAGCAAGAACCTGTAAATTGCTTCACAGTTGTTGGTTTAGCAGAGAATAGAAAGCAGGAGAAGCAGGGGCTGCAACAAAGGCACTGTTTCATTTCAGATGTAACGAGGGCTGTGCTCATACAGGGGACTCTGCAAAGAATTCTGATGAGCACTGCTGGCAGAAGAGCCGACCAGGAGTGGTGGGCAATGCAGGGGAGCAGAGATTACTTGGATACCTGAAGACACACAAGCAGCCTCTCAGGGGCATCGCAGAGCTCTGGCACTGAGGAGCTGGTTGCCAGCATTCCTCTGAGAGGCTGAAGGCAGAGGAGTGCTGTGAGGACGAGCAGCAGGGGGTAATTTGTCTGTTCTTCTACCAGCAGGCTGGAAAAACGGCCCGCAGGATGGGATCTGCTCAAAATGCAAGGATGGTAAACGGAAGGAAGGTGAAAGAAGGATGCAAGGAGACGACGGGAGCACAGTGGGCTTTTCAAGTTTTATACAGTAATTTCGGTCTCGTGTTCAAAGGACGAGCAGAGACTGAACAGCGCTGTGCAACAGAATGCAGAGCAGAAAGAGAAAGCAAGAGGAAGCGTGTTGTGGGATGCATGGTCAGGAGCCTCCAACAGAGGAGGAGCTTTTCCCCAAGGGATTAACAAGGCCGTTTGTGGAGTTAGTTACCACGCTACATACAAGGAATTTAAGGGAACAAAAATGAAAGCCAAAGCAAGGTGGTTCAAGAACACCATTTTAAGAAGTCCAGTGAATTGAAGAGAAAGCATTCTGCACATGGCATGGAGACAGATAGGCTTTCAGATCTGCCATTTCTGCTTTTAGCCACAGCCTCCTTCATGATCCAGAAGCCTCCTGCTAGATTTTGCTTATTTAAGTACAGCTCTGAGCAGAGAAGCCATTAATGCAGACCAGGATCGATCTGGACCAGGCACAGTTTGCACCTTCTGCTCAGAGGCAGCAAGGCTGGGGTAAACATCAGAGATAGATGATACAACAGCTGCTGAAACAATCCAGAACTTCAGCCACAAGTTACACCCTGCTGCCCCTATCTTGGTCTCCACTGCTTCCTCTGTTTAACAGTAGATGCTCTAAAGCATATTAAAGGATGAATTTATGTTCTGCTTCAATAGAAGTCATCTGTTGAAAGAAGACTGAATAGCTAAGGCAGGAAAACAAACAAAAAACACAAATATATTGAAACTTCGTTTACACTCCAATAAAAGACAAAGCCCGTCCCTCCTCTGACTGTGGAACTGGCCTGTACCTCTGTGATAAATTATCACCTAGAGAGAGGAAATCTAAAGAGATATCGTTAATCACAGTCAAACAATTCACAGAGAAAAGGAAAAAAAGAACTTACTTAACATTACCATATTTTACTACGAAACACTTAAATATGTCACTAAGGATGTATGTCTAAATTAAAAATAAAACTAAGACTTAACAGCTTAATCAATACAAAGTGAAGGATATATTTCTTAATAATGAGTCAGAGGAGAAATGAAAGTTCAGATGGCAAACTATTCTCCAGCATGTCCAACATGCTGCTCGGTGGTAAGTGCAACTAAGCTTCACTGATTGGAAATATTGCCTCTCCAGAGTCAAAACAGCTGACAGATGCAATGGAAGGTGGATGACATGAAGGCTGCTCCATGTTTGGACCAAATCTTACCAACGTGATTAAAGCAGCGTGACAAAACTTTGTTTCTGTTACTAGGAAAAAATGCAGTCCAGCACACAGGGCTATATATTCCAATCAAAATATATATATATATATACTTGGAAAATGTTTTATGTTGTCTAAGAACTGCTTTGCTCGAATTTTAAGTGAAGCCATTGAAGTGAAGCACGGAATGGATGGATGACGTCCCAAAATCACGTTCAGAAGTACTGAACCAAAGCACCCCCATGCAGTTACACACCAACAAACCCTTCGTGTGGAATGGGAGGAAGGGCTGATGACATTTCTTTTCCTCCTACAGCATCTTAAACCACAGCAGTGGCTCAAGAATCCAATTTCATTCAAACAAAAACTAGCAAAAAAACAAAACAAAACCAAAACAACCCTGAGAAACTGAAAATGAACACGAAACATCTGAGTTTAAATGCACAGATACCAACTAAAGCTGGAGATGAAGAGTCTACAATTAAAGCGATGTTTGCCCAGTGAATTATTCTTTTTCCTGAGGCAACATAGGGAAAAAAAAAATCTACCTTTTCTGATGGTATGAAATAGTTTGCCATCTGACTATAGCAGAGTATGAAGGAATTTCAAGGACAAACTAGATCAGCCTTTACCTCGGGGCCTCTGTTTCTCTGCGTCATAGATCATTACAACTTCAGTGACCTGGAAGAGAGAAGGGAAATTCTACTAACTGTGCTACCAGGGGAGCATTACAGACAGTTACCATAGGCTGCTTTCCCACACTCCATCCACAAAGCACAATTAAATGCTTGATGCAGCCATCAATACCAGCCTGTCCCACCACGGCGCAAACCAACTGGGAATGCTGCTCTTGAAGGGAGCCTAAGAAAAGCCTGAATTCATCTGCTCTGAAAACAAAAACAACCCTGCAGCATTTGGGCTTTCTGGGGTCTCATCACACTTAGGATGTTAATCTAGCATTAAGGCTGCTATGCTGTTTGTAATCACAGCCTATAAACGACCCCAAAGGTTTCTGATTTGCAGCACACCTCAGCACGGCTTCCTGAAAGATTATTTCTTCCATTTTAAAACGCTTCCACTCTCCACATAAAAAGAAGCTTCAGCTTCAAACATTGAAAAATGTGCACAGCTCCTCTGAATTACCCACTTGCCTATCAGTGTGCTGCAGAGCATCAGCTGTAAGGTGATGCTTTAAGTAGCATCACAAAACCACTCGGTTATGGATGCTCAGTGTTTGTGTACTTGGGTACAGAAATAAGAACCAGGAGCTGCTCCAACACTTCAAAGATCTTTCTCTTCTCAAAATAAGCATCAGCAGGAGCTACAATTTGAAACAAAAAGGCAATTCTTTCCAAAGCTGCAACCAAACAGCTGAAAGGAACTGCCCTTAAAGCTCTCAGATGCAGAAATGCAGACAATGAACTGCGTGTGATGTCACAGAACCACTGCTTCCTCCAGGTCAATTTGCCTTAAAATATTTCAAATTAAGATCTCCTCGTTAGCTTAAAACAGCTCTAGAAAACACACTTTCAAGTTCTTACACCACACGCACTCACTGGTGCGCATCCTGCTGGACGCCAGCTGCTGACACTTATCCCCATTGGGATGGTGATGGTGGCAGAGTTCTTTCCCCATCCAGATCCCCTTCTTCACTGCTGTCTTACTGACCAAGCAAGGGCAACGTCTGAACTCAGCCCTCACTTCTGTCTCTTCGCTCTGTGGCCGCATACAGAACATCTTCTGCAAGGACACCTCGCTAAGAGCTCCGCTGACTGCCCAACTCTCTGCTATTGTTTGTCTACTTACTTTTAAAGGCACACGTGGCAGCTGTTGCCTTCTGGCTTTGGAGGGCCACAGCCCTGCATCTCCCAGGCCATGCCGAGGTTCAGAATCGGAAAGCCAAAAGGCTGTGAGGAAGAGCCTTCAGAAATTACGTGCCACAGCTGTGGAACAAACTCCTCCACTTCTGTGACAGCTCCAGTGCAGGCTCCCACACTGCAAGGAGGGCTGTTAGCCACTGCTAACAACTAACTGCTTTTTCAAAGCCACCATCTTAGATGTGGTACTGCTGATAAACAGCCACGTGAGAAAGAACCAATGGATCCCAAGAAAACTTGGAGAAAGGCAAGCTTTTCAGGAATCAGATCACATTAAATGCCATCAGAGACGGCCAGCTTCCATCCACTGACATGGTATGAAATTCAACTCGGGGAACCTCTGAGTATTCCAGAACTGCACAGCTGAGTTTAGTAATTGAGCTGAGCAATTTACCACCTCAAAGAGGCCACAGTGGTAGGAATAAATGGGAAAGTGAAACTAATAGGCAAATAGGCAGAAGCGACACTCATTTCGGTTAGAGGTTACAGGCTGAATGACAGCCTGATGCTTAACATGGGCAGCAGTTTCTCTCTGGAATGGATATTTCAGGGGCAGCAGAACCCAGCTGATTGCAGACACTGCTTTAAAAGCAGGGTGTTAACAAAATAATGGCAGGAGGCTGCAAAATTCAATCGATTTGCCCACTTGAAGACAAGGATCTCACGCATAAAGCTCGCCTGCTGTTGCAAAAACAAAAAACCCCAACAACAAACTTCCACTGAACTCCAAGTGACCAATTGAAAAAGAAATAATTATTCTCAAGTCATCTAAACTCAGGAATGCTTTCTCACTTTGCAGGAAGCAAACAGAATAATGCATCAGGCAGACGTGAACAAGAGGAGACAGGAGCAGCAAAGTAAGTTTCTTATGAGAGCAATTGATTTTGACAAATAGCAAGATACACTTCAAGATGATGAACGTTTAGTACACTGGATTGCAAAGTGCTTCAATATGTGCCCATAGCAGTTTGTCTAAATTAACCCAAAATTTGACAGCTTGATGAAATCTGAGAAAAGGCAGTGGAGAGAAAAAGCATCTTGCAACCAACAGCTAACTGCCATCATGCGGGATGACTCACCACTCCGAATTTCTTGAAGTATTCCCTGAGCTCAGTCTCGCCACAGTTATGAGGAATCCCACCAACAAAAATTTTATTTGATTTATTGTTATCACTCCTGGATCCTTTCTGCTAAATCAAGGAGGAAAGAGAAATCCGTCAGAAGGACAAGCAAGTTGTGACTTCTCCCATCTCACACTGCGACACGACCACCTCCAGCCTTCCAGCCTGTTACACTCACTGAAGGGGAGCAGAGCTGCACGCTCTGAGCTCAGACGTTCAGTGCTGGCAGCTATAGCCCACTCTCTTCTTCAGAGAATCAGGAACAGGGATCATATTTGAGGCCATTTCCTCATTTTCTATAGGATCAGATCAGCCTGCAGGCTGTGAAGGGGGCTGGAAAGAAGCACCAGGCCTGCGAGCTCTCCTTCAAAAGGGCTGCACAGAGCTTACAGGAAACACCAACCCACAACCCCACCGTAAGCCAGCATTTGGTAACGCCTGCACTGGATGTGGAGCCTGACCATAAAACACTCCAAGGGCGTTTCACAAGCAGGATTTATCGAGCTCTGCCTACAGACAGCCGGCTTTCAAACAGAAGCGTGACCCAGGTGAATTCAGCGGTGACACAGCACACATCTGTCCTTACCCATCCTTCCTTTGGCCGTGTCCTTTCGGGTTGCATCCCCCTGGGTGTACATGGCTTTGGATCAATCTGGAAGAGATTCCAGTTGGGTCAGACCTTAGCGTGTGGAAAACCATCCTAAAATGTTACGTTTATGGCAGTGAAAGCAGCACTGCTGACACCCAGCTCCGCAGATAAAAGCTGCTGCCCAGACGTTGCTTCTACAAACTGCCACGGATCACCCAGTTAAAGCTGCCCGTCTCAGCATCAGTAACTAAAGCCAACAACCAGGCAGCTTTGGTATCACCTGGTGTGCAATTAGACATCAGGATTTGGAACAGGCCTGGAAACAGTTTGGGAAGACAGAAAACAACAACAAAATGCTCAATAAAAACCCAAACCAAGCCAACTTACGTTTCGGCCATCTAACGTGTGAGGTCTGCTGGCCAGCACTGTTCCCACACAGTTGGGATCTTTGAATTTGACAAATCCAAATCCTCGAGACTGGTTGGTTGTTTTGTCTTTCATTATTACACAGTCTACAACCTCCCCATACTGGGAGAAGTAGCCACGAAGAGTTTCTGTTCAAAAAAAAAAAAAGGTATATATGAAACAGAACCAGATATTCACTTCACCAGGCTGCTCACAACTATGAGACAAAGGTGAGCAAGGAGCTGAACGAGTTCAGGCTTATCTCCTGACAACGGTTAGACTTTGCTCCCTCTACACAAAGAGCATATATTCCCACTCATGCAAAAAGAAGAGTAATATCACAGGGAAGAAACATTAACAAAAAAGCTCTTCATCTTCTGAGTCGACAAAAACACCAAACGCTCGTAGAATGTTTAGAAAGCAAAACAGCAACGTCCATCTATGTGAACTCTGCACAGCAAATGTTACCCATTAACAGAAAAGAGCAGCAGAATCTCAGCCTGGTTTTCCTACCAGGGCACTGGCTGCTAAAAAGCCACGTGGTGTGCATGGCTGGGGGTCTGTGCACAGAGCACCGGCTCAATGACTGCACAACACACAGCTTACCTTGCGTTGTACTCCAGTCCAGGCCACCCACAAAGAGTTTTCTGCAATTGAAGCACACAGCATTTTAGGGTGCTACACAAAAGCAGCTTCGCCTTATTTGACAGAATTCGGCTACTGTCAGCAGCTCTGCTGGCACCGAGGCCCCCAGGACCCCACAGTTCTTCAGCAGGAAGAAGGATGCACTGCAACACCCACCTTCTGCTCACACCGAAATGAAGCATCCACTTGCTGTGCCACGAGCACAAACACAGGCCGCAGTCTCATTGAAAGAATGTTTTATTCTTTTATGTAAAATAGGAGACAAAACACAGGAAAGCCTACATTGCTCTGAACCCCTCGCTTGCAGGTGTTTGAGAAAACAGTGTCACTTTGAGGAACCATTGGGAAATTGAAGGAGGAAAAAAAAGCCAACCAGCACACAGCATCACACTGAGCTGCTCTGAGCGGGGAAGAAGGGATTCCACCAAGAAAAACTTCGTAGTTCAGAAGAATACATTCAAAGCATGAGTGAAGTTACTTGGAAAATGACCCAGGAACATCACTACAGAGCTGCTCCTTGCTGCACCCCAATGGGGGAATGTCAGACCACACCGAGGCCCCATGGGCTCTGTGTTACATCCCACAGAGCACAAGAGCTGCTTTGGGCTCCTCTGAGCTCCAACTGAAGGACCAAAACAAAATCCTGAACTCCTCAAACTCTCAGCAAACTGAGAGAAGACCAGTCAGCCTCATTTCAACACCTATTCCATTAGCTACTTCAATCCCAGGCTAACGGCCAAGAGGTGCAACAGTCCTGCATCGAGCCTTTGAAACTCACTTCAAACAACAGCTTGAGCTCTCCTACACCCATTTGCTACCTGACATTGAACAGTGCAAGATGAATGACAGCCTAAATAGGCCAAGAAACGTCCGCCACATGAAACACAGCACCGCTGCTGCAGGCCTGGCTGAGAAGAAGGATCACAGCACAAGTAGCACTGACTGAAGTTCACGTGTTTGATGTCGCCAACAACCGAAACCAACCGACCTGAGTCGCCCCTGCCTGCGAGGCACCGCAGCCAACCTGCACAGGACGTGCAGCCCAAGCCCAAAAGGAATCACAGCCCAAGGATCCGGGCGTACCTGCAATCCTATCCTTGCTCTCCAGCTGCTAACTGGGCAGAAGAGAAAGCTGGCGAGTTCTCTCAATTCTCTGATCTAAAAAACTTACGGTGGCTCTCAGGTTTCCCTGCTGCTGTGTTTGCTGGGCACTGTGCTGTACAGAAAAGCCTCATATTGAAGAGTGAAACAAAGCAGAAACCATCATTACTGCCTGACTCACTGGGAGGGCAGGTCAGTACTCTGCTCACCATCATCTTCTGGGTAAATGAAAGCAAAAGCAGAACAAGTCTGAGATGGAAGGAGCTGCAAGGCAAGCAGTGAGCAGCAGAAGCATCGATGCAATAATCGCAATCACCGCGTTACAGATCTCTCCAAATGCAACAGAAAAGCCATGGCTAAAAGCCCAAACTAAACCTCGTGCTTAAAACCAATCTGAACCAACCTCATCGTCTGCAAAAAGCACCCAGACCTGCACAGCTTCGTGTTGGAGCATGCTGAAGGACTTGGGCAAGCACAGAGACAAGCAGCAGGATGCTGGGCTGCCTGCTTTGCAGCTCTGTATCAACTTCAGGGTGTGATGCAACTTCCAGGCAAAATTATTCACTCTATAATTGAAGGTTAATTCAAAACCACCTCTGCATTTGGCCCTTTTCATTAAGAGGCACCAGTGCAGGACCTTCTGTTAGCAGCTCTGTGAGCCTGCACAAGGCAAAGAGGACACCCTCCATTTCTCTACCAATCCTCAAGAACCACCATCTGCTTTTGTCTTCTACCTGCCCTCAGGCATTTCCAAGCACAGCTGCAGCTTACAAGTGGAAAGTTGAGGTTCTCCCCTTCCGATCACAGCTCAGAAAAGCTGTTCTAGCAGCAATCAAATGCAACAGAAGCCCACAGAACCCCACGCCTCCTTCTCACCTCCTTCCAGGAGCAGCCAACTGCAGTGGGACACAGCCACCCCTCGGCCAGGAGGGAGCAGCAGTGAAGTGACAGCTTGCGACAGAAGAAAGCAGCAGATTCTGTTCTCTGTGCTGTCATCACAGCACGGCCCTTACGCAACAACCGGCAGCGAATAAAGCAGTGCTGGAGGAGCAGACACATGCTACACATGGAAATAAGGCTGACTAAACCAGCATTCAGTGGCACACAAAAGCCCAGCTCCTCCCTCTGTCACCAGCTGATAGGCGACACAAGCTTGCCTCTCAATAAAAAACCAAACCTGAATTCCTGTAAAGCACATCAGAAGGGTCCTGTAATTCGTACAGAAAATCAGGGAGCTGCCAACATGCAAAGCGCTGCAAAGCCAGCAGGACAGCTGCTCTGGTACTGTAGTGACACCTGCTAACAGCACAAGCAGGACCACAAGCAGGACATCTCCTCCATTTGCAGCCCTCTTAGAAAACAAGCCTCCCTGCTCTGTGTCCCAGGATAACCAAGTTCTGCTCACAGACAGGAAAACCCGACCCCAGGCACTGCTGGCAGAGGGCGCAGCGCTCATCAGCTCATCCAGCACAGCTTCCAGCCCATCTCCTGCACAGCCCAGCTCCCCCAGCAGCCATCAGCCCCCGCACAGCTCCTCACACACAGGACAAAAGCACAAATGCACGTGCTTATTGCCATGCCCGTGTATTTAGGGTCAGGTTAAAGCCCTCTAAGAAAACAACTCTGTTCCTTAGCAGTAAAGATAAAAGCTCTGATCCGATGCCACGCTCAGACCAAAGTCTGGAGACTGCACAGATACATTTTCTTAGCCAAGCACATTTGGGTTTGGCTTTTTAAGCTACACCGGATCGCTTGCTGTACAACATCAACCTATAAAAGATCGATTTAAAACACCAGCTGCATTCTGACACAACGCCAAGCTGTCTGCAGGAAGGAGGGCTCCCCACAGTCCACCGTCATTGAAACCTTCCAATTCCATTATTAATTACTTGTAGTCATCTTACACACGTTTCAACAAACAAAAAAGCAGGGTTGTCTGAGGTCAACTGCAGCAGCTGTATGTAAATGGAGGGTTTCTATTTATACGCTCCCTATAGGATGCCAGGAGCGGGGCTACCCCGTCTGGTGACTCCAGGATGGGTTGGTCTGAAGACACCGAGCGATGCAAAGGAGCAAAGCACACAACTTCCTATCACATGGAAGGCCTTCCCCTCACGCTGCCTTTCAGAACAGAACTTCCTTTGCACAGCTGCAGGCAGATGACTACAACTGGGCTTTTCATCTTTCCAGCTTTACATCTGAGCACTTCCAGAGCACAACCCACAAACATGAACGCCCCTCACACAACACGAGCTGTTTGCAGTGATGTGCTCTACCCCAAACCGTTACCTTGCTCCTTGTATTTTTAAGACCACACCAATTAAGCACACGCAGTAATTAAGCAGCTTGTCCCGCACCGGGGCAGCACGGAGATGAAGGCTCTCCTTAAGCTCCAGAACCTGTGACAGTGCCCACACTGCACCCATCAGCACGTGTGGCACTGAGGGATGCAGCTCAGCAGCTGTGGTGGCAATGGGCAGAGGGCTGCACTACATCTTAGCACTCTTCTCCAACCTTAATGCCTGTACTTCTATGAGCGAAAGGGAGCCAAGAGGGTTTCTGGTGCAACCCCCAAGGAGGCTGTGGATGCCCCATCCCTGCAGGCATTCAAGGCCAGGCTGGACGTGGCTCTGAGCAGCCTGGTCTGCTGGTTGGCGACCCTGCAGGGGGGTTGAAACTCGATGATCGTTGTGATTCTTTTCCAACCCATTCTATGATTTTATTTCTAACACTCGAAGCCCACAGGCTTCCAAGCAGTCCCCCTAACCTTCTTTCGGCAGTTCCCAACGCGTGGAGTCCACAGCCTTTTCACTTAAACAGCTTCATTTGCATCTTTTTTCGGCTGCTCCCAGTTCCCACACGATTTACATTCAAAGCCTACAAAGACTCCTCATTTCCTCCTGCAAGCTCCCAGCTCGACACGTGGAGCCCACAGACCTCCGCGGGCCTCTCTGTACACGGGGCCGTTTCCCCGGGGGGCAACTTGCAGGGCGGGCGGTGACGATTCGGTGCGGATCCCTACAGCAGCTGTGCGCACATGGCTGGGGCGGGGGAGGGGGGGGTGCCGTTCTAACAGCCGGCTTTCAGCACGCGGCACTTCACGGGGAGCACAACGAAGCCGACGAGCGGCTCGCGGCTGCAGCTAAGGAACGGAAAGCCGTTCGACTGCGAACCGACGGAACGCTCAGACGGGAACCGCGTCCCACGAAAGGAAGCTTTTGTCCCATCCATAGGAAGGGCCAGGAGCGGCGCAGGGCCGAACGCCGGGGTGACCTTGGGCTGCACGGAGGAATCGCGGGGCGGCAAACGGGGCCGGTGCGAACCCCGCCTCACCCAACGGGGCCGCGCGGCGGGGCGGAGCTCTGCCACACAACCCCCCCCACCCCCCCCCTCCTCCCGGAGCCGCTCCGTTCCCCGCGGCCCAGCGCGGCCCGGCACCGCCCGCCCCGCCGCTCACCCGATCTCGTCGGCGCCTCCCACGCTGTTCATGGCGGCTGTTCGGCGGGCCGCGGGGCCGCGCCCGGCTCTCCCTCCGTTAACGGAAGGTCGCTGGGCCGTCGCTCGGCTTTATCACCAATTCTCGCTTTTCTTTTTCTCGGTCGTTCGCTCAATTCTTTCTTCTCTCTTTCTCTCTTTTCCCCCCCCTCCCTCCCCCCCAACCCGAGCTGCGCAACGGCCGCCCCCCGGGCCCGGCCCCCCCCCGCCGCCGCCCGCCGCGCGCTCGCGCTCCCTCAGCGCCGCCAACCGCCGCTGCGCGCGCACCTGCCCTCGCTACGGGGTCTCCGCGGCCGCGCCCAGGGAGGGGCGGAAGTGAGGCGGGGCAGATCGGGATAGAGCGGCGCCGCGCGGGGCATGGCGGGAAGGGCGGTCCTCCAAGGGTACCGCGTGCGCGGCCCATGCGGTGCGTGGGGGTGGTGCGGGGGTTTACGGTGTGACCCCGACCTGGTGCGTGGCTGCGGTGATCGCCGTGTCCTTTATAGGTGAACCGATGGGCAGCGCAATGCCAGCACGCATCTCAGTGCTCATCGCAGCTCTGGTATTCAGCACAGCCCCATTGTATGGCTGCGATGCAACCCCAATGCGTACAGATCGATTGTACTGCACGGTCCAATCCCCCAGTGCATTTTGCAGCACCAATGCATAGCTCCAGTGCTCACCACGGCCCCGGTGTGTGGCCTCAGTGCATGGCATGGCCCTGCTGTGCAGCCCCGCTGTGTGTTGTGCTTCTGGTGCACAGCCTCGGTGCACAGCAGAGCCCCAGTGCATGTCCCAGTGCACAGCCCAGCCACAGAGCTCAGCTGCAGCACTGACTGCAACCCTAGTGCACAGTCCAACTACACAGAACAGCCCGAGTGCGTGGTCCCAGTATATGGCATGGCTCCAACACATAGAACAGCTCTAGTGCATGGCTCCGGTGCCTGGTGTAACACTGGTGCTTGGCTCCAGTGCATGGTGTAACCCTGATGCACAGCCTGATGCACAGCACAGCACAGTGTGCTGCACAGGGCGGTGCATAACCCCAACCTGTGGCACAGCACAGGGCACAGCACCACACACAGCCCCAGAGCTGAACCCTGCCTCTGTGGCCCCTCCAATGCATCAGCCCAGCCCAGCTTTGACCCACGGTGGTGCTGCAGCTGCACACAGCACAGAACACAATGCACAATGCACATTGCACAGTGCCACTCGCACCCTAGCACTCTCCCCAAGCCCCCACACCCCTCATCCACCCCCCTGCACCCAGCCCCACGCATGCACCACCCCTCGATACCCTTTCACCCCAGAGGGGCCCCAGCAGGATGTGCACACTCAGCTCTTTTCCAGCCCTGGCTATTTAAAGCTGGACAGCACTGTGAGCCCTCTCCTCCCCCTGCACTGCGAGCCCTTGGACTTTCTCCCACAGCCATGAGCTCAGGCACAGCTCCCATCTTCACCGAGGGTGAGGACTGCAAGGCTGCATGGCGGGAGGCTACAGCTGCCTACAATGCCCCCGACACCCACCTGGAGATCCTGGGGAAGCCGGTGATGGAACGCTGGGAGACCCCCTACATGCATTCACTGGCAACCGTGGCTGCTTCCAGGGGTAATGGGGACAGCGAATGGCACTGGGGGGCATTGGTAGCCCAGGGGAGGGGAATGGTGACACTTGTGCTATTGTGTCAGTGGTGACATATTCCTGAAAGGGGCTGGGGGAGGAGGAGCGGGGCTGCCACCTGCCTGCAGTGCTGGAACCGAACTGGGGGGGGTCACAGCTTTGCTACAGGCAATTGTGCATTCCTATTGCAACGGGCGGGGAGTGAGGGGGGAGGCAGGAGAATGTTGGGGGCTTGAGGGGCTTCGGAGGGGCCAAACGCCAGGGGAAGGCTTCCAGTGTTAACCCCTTGCTGCCAGGTGGCCGTGTGCTGGAGGTGGGCTTTGGCATGGCCATTGCTGCCACCAAAGTGCAGGAGTTCAACATCGAGGAGCACTGGATCGTGGAGTGCAACGACGGCGTGTTCCAGCGGCTGGAGGAGTGGGCGCGGGTGCAGCCACACAAGGTCTGTGCTGCGTTGAGCTACGTTGGGTTGTGCCATGCAGTGCTGTGCTGTGCTGTGCTGTGCCGTGCTGTGCTATGCTAGGTGTGGGGCTGAGCCCCCCCCTGTCCTGTTCCCCCTATAGGTGATGCCACTGAAGGGGCTGTGGGAGGACGTGGTGCCAACGCTGCCGGATGGGCACTTCTCTGGTAACACATTGGGGGGTGCAGGCACTGACCCCTAGGACTGGGGGAGGATGGGGGTCCAGAGGCATGGAGGGAGGGGGGAGCAAATGTAAAGGGGACAAATCAGAAGATGGCGGTGGAGGGGAACCCCGTGGTGGCAAGGGGCCTCTCTCAGATGCCCGCTGCTCTCCCTGTGCAGGAATCCTATATGACACATACCCGCTGTCTGCACAGACCTGGCACACGCACCAGTTTGCCTTCATCAAGGTAGGGCAGCAGGAGCGGGGTGGGAGGCGAGGCAGCTGATCGGTGTGGTGCCTCTGACCCCCCTCTCCAATGCAGGACCATGCCTTCCGCCTGCTGCGGCCCGGGGGGGTCCTCACCTACTGCAACCTCACCTCGTGGGGGGAGCTGCTGAAGGGCAAGTACAGCGACATAGAGAAGATGTTTGAGGTGAGCTGGGGGAGGGGGGGGCGCACTGCCACCAGCACGGACCCTCCTGCAGGCACCTGCAGGGCTGAGAGCTCAGGGGGGAGCATCACAGCTCCCTGCTCCCCGGCCCAGCAGCATCACAGATGGCTGAGACCACGGCTGGGTGATTCCCCCCCCTCACTTCTCTCTTGCAGGAGACTCAGGTGGCACAGCTGCTGGAGGCCGGCTTCAGGAGGGAGAACATCAGCACGGCGGTGATGGAGTTGGTGCCCCCCCGGGAGTGCCGCTACTACTCCTTCCCTCGGATGATCACCCCCCGCGTGGTGAAGCACTGAATAAAAAGGTCCCTGCGGCTGCAAACCCGCAGCGCAGCGTTGACCCAAAGGGGCTCACGCTGTCCTTTACTCTAAAAACAATTGTTTGGGAAATCGGGGGGGGTCCGTTTCCGTGCAGAAGCCAAACGTGCCAGGCCAGGCAGGAGGAATGGGGAAGATGGGGCAGTTTGAGGCACGTTCCTTAGATCTGGATTTCCCATGAGTTTCCAGTGAAAGTTCCCTCATATTTTTGGCTGATGCCCATTTTTAATAAGCTCTGATTCTTACGACCCTCGTGCAGTTCAATAATGCATAAATGACGTTCCCCCTCTCTACCCAGAAGGGCTAAAATCCATTAAATCAGACCGAAATACACAAAGGCTATTTCTGAGCAATTTATTTTTGCCTTTCGAAGCACGCCTGTAACTGCAGACCATATGGGTGCGCAGCACAGGGGTTCCCACAACACATCCACTGCCAGACCAATGCAATTCCTTCTGCTGTACACATCGAGGTGTGTTCCATCCCTTGTAGGAATTAAGAAACAAGCGGGCAGAGCTGAGCTCATGGACACCACGGGGTTCCTCTGGATGTGAGCTGGTCCCATAAAGAACCCCAGCACTGACAGCAGCCTGCAGCTGGGGGAGGATCCAGTGCCTGAGCTGCTTTCATTGTGAAAAGGAAAACAAATCCTGCACACCCCAGCTGCTACAGCAGAGCTGTGTGTTCTACCTGGGCCAGAGGACTTCAGGCCTCCTGCAGCAACCAACCACACTCGGCAGCTGCAACTCCTAACGAAGCCAAAGAGCAACCCAAGGTTTCATGCCTCCCTTCTCCCAGGCATTTATTTCACTCAGGATAAGAGCAGTGTATTAAAGACAGGGCAGCATCTTAACCAGGTACAGTTTTATTGGAAGGCCTGTGAGAACGGTTATCTTTGTGCGTAGAAAGCAAGTAGGTGCCGCAGGCAGTGAGGGGGAGGTCATAAATAAGAGCCTATTTCCTATACCAGATCTGAATCTTCTTCTCTCGTTTGATTTTTTTCTGAAGCTGCAAGATGCCGTACAGCAAAGCTTCAGCCGTGGGTGGGCAACCTGAGGGGGAAAGAGATGGGTGGCATCACCAACTTCATGGCAGCCCTGCTCCAACCCAGCGCCGTGGCTGCTCTCCTACCTGGCACATAGATGTCCACCGGCACGATGCGGTCGCAGCCCCTCACCACAGAGTAGGAGTAGTGGTAGTAACCCCCGCCATTGGCACAGCTGCAAAAGGTGTTTGTTAAGCACAGCTCAGGGAGACGTTAGCAGAGGCAAAGGCAAACGTTAGGCTGGCACCCGAGGGTAAGAGGTGCTTCTGCGTGTCGTGGGGACTGGGTGCTGGGGGCCGTTCAGTTTGAGCACAGAGCTGTGTGCCGCCTGTGGGACCTGGCTGGGAGCAGGCTGCACGTGTGTTCTGAGCTGGATCAGACCAAGCTCAACCACTTCCATGGCTCTTACGAAGCAGATGTGGAGGAGCCCCTTTGCACACTGCAAAACCTCTTTTTCTTTTTTTGTCACATGCACAAAGAACGTTTCTAGAACTCGTTCTGTCCCATCCATCCTCAAGTTCAGCTGCACTCAGACCCAGCGGCACCGGGTCAGTTCTGCTGTGCCAACACTGTGGCTTCAGAGCCAGAGATCCACAGATCCCATATTTGATGCTGCACAGTGGAAACATGAAGTCCAAAAGCAAACTCTGAGATTTTGAGCATAGCGAGGCCTACAGAGACAGCCACAAATAAACCAACAGAACCTTTCATCGCACAGAGCCAGCAGTTCAGAGGGACCTGACAAAATACTCTCCTAACCAAGAAGAAACGTTGATTTACTTTATTTCGTTAAATATCAAAGCCTTTTGTAAAGGGCTGAAAGGATGGAGGCTCCCTCCCCCTCAGCCACATGGTTTCTCCCACCCAGCTTAAGGTCGTTACCTTCCCATGGAGACCACATAGCGAGGCTCTGGCATCTGGTCGTAGACCTGCAGGACACAGACAGATCAGAGCGCTCTCCATCCACGCGCAGCCCCCCTCGAGGCACCCATCCATACCTTTCGCAGGGCTGGAGCCATTTTGTTTGTCAGGGTGCCAGCCACAATCATGACGTCGGCTTGGCGGGGGCTCGCTCGGAACACCACCCCGAAGCGGTCCATGTCGTAGCGGGGAG